TAGGAATCCTATAAACAAAAAGTATATTTGATTGAATAGTTTTATTTAGTATCAGTTACTACCGCGAGATAAAATGGTATAATACTTTACCTCACTTGTGAATAGAATTCCTTGAATCTGTAGCGCGCTTGTGGATTCTCGCCTTTTTATGGCATAAGCCGGTAATCGAGCAGACGGATCACTTGATGGTAAGCAATCGGCGTCGCCCATGGACACCTGGAACACCAGAGGCGTTACAGGTGCGTTACCGGCCTTTTGGGGATTAGGAGTTTGAGGATCGTTGGGGATTCAGGAATTGGGGAGATTAGGGAAGGGGAGGGTAAATTGGGCCTCCGGTAACCTCACTCACACGACGAAACACAACGCAAGCGTTGCTTCACGTCGATTTTCTGTGAGGCCGTGATATCACTCCGGTCGAGCCGGCCCATTCGTGCCGAAGCATGGCTCTCCCACACCTCACATACACACGACTAAAGAAATAATTCGTTTTCCAAAAGTGTATTTAAAACGACGACTCAAAACCAACACTCGTTTGTTGTGAAACAGACATAAACTATAACAACATAAATTAGTTTTGAAAATAGTTGAACCTGTAAATATACCTCTAGAAGTTACTTTCAGTCTTCAAGCAGAATGAACGCGGAAGTTTTTAGCACTACGTTTAAGGTCTGGGGGACCTAAAAACCTATAACATTTTTAAAATCCTAAAGCGAGGAGTTTCGGGTTAACGTAATTAACCTCTGCACTAAAATTTAACCTGTAAACCGCCAACTGGGGTATATTTTACATCACAGTATTTTTGCTCGTACCTCTACATTCATACTAAAAATAGCAAACTCCAATTATAGGTTGTGTTAGATTTTCGTACTAAATAAAGATTAAAAAAATTGACAAAAATGTTACGTTTACATACCTAGATTCACAGCATTTCTTCTACAAAAGAGTAAATATGCACGTTTTTGATCCACAAGCGTATGACTTACTTCTTGTCAGTGGTGTTATAAATTCTAACGAAAAAGATTAGTTGGTGTCATCCAAAACTAGAATTGCGTAGGTAAGTTAAGTTTTCCATAACTCATCAGTTAAGTGCCATAACAGGGGCGTAGCTAGCGCCGTATCTGCCGTATCAATTATACGGGGCCCCCGGACTACAGGGGCCCCCAACGTGCCTAAGAAAAAATTAATAAAAAAAATTATTCTATTTCAGTAATCGCAAAAGTAAAATAAACGATTTTTTTCCCGCGTAAAGCATGCGTTCAAAGGTTGGCAAAAACTTAAGAAGAATAAAAGTTATTAAGGTCCGCTAATTAGGGCAGAGGAAGTCGCGTGAAAAAATTTTCGGTTTTCACAAAAATTATAAGTATTTTATGTAAAAAAAATCTATTGTGAGAAATGTTTATCGTTCAAAGACTCCTAAACAAATTTTTATACGGGGCCTCCCCAAGGCACGCTACGCCATAACATTATTTCTAAGGTTTCAATGACAAACAAACGAATGTTATTTGTAAATCCAACTTTAAGTTAAGCCATAATATTTTTTGTACCGTTTTTATCATAAACAACTACGTTACCTACAAGTATAACATTTTGTAATCATTCTAATATTTTTCCACGAGTCTGGAAAAATCGAGTTTGTAGTTCTGAAATTAAATCAATAAATAAAATGGTAATTTCCATTGCTCCCATGGCACCCGCGCCGACGTCTTAAGCCCACCCACGCGCCACCCTCCTCTCAGCCCAGTCGTGAACTCTCAGTCGTGAACAAGCCGCCGCTCAAACGTGGCGTTCCCGGAGCGTATCAGTCTTGCGTCCATAGAAAAGAGGTGTCCTGTCTATTACACAGGTAAGATTCCTGTCAAATGTGTAATCACTTGCCATAACACCAGTTTGAAAAGAAATGATTGTGACAATATCTTCTAACGAGAGGCTGCTGTCATTATTTTTCCTTTTTTGAACAGTACACACATAGTGATAATAACACATTACAATTTGTTCAACGAATCACATTACCCTATTAAGATGAGTGGTGCCTAAAATAATCCTATTCCACGGTGAACTGGTTTGTTTTAGCTAACTCGTTCAAATAATTATTAATTCAAAGTTGGGAATTATTATAACAATAAACTTGAATTTTAATTTATGATTGAACTTGGATTTTTTCCCTAAAGCAGTAAACAGAGATTTCATTAGTTATTGCTTTAACACATCACATTAACGACTTCTAAGTAGCCACTGCTGACCAAAGGTCTCTTCTCACACATAGAAGATTTGGGCGTTAATCACCACGCTGGTTCATATTATTAGAAATTATAGCCCAGGTTTCCTCACGATGTTATCTTTCATCGTTTGTCAGTGGTGTCTAAATAATCTTAAAAAGTACATACATATAACTCGGACTTATACTTGGCGTTTTTGGTACTTGCCGTTCTTAGATTCCCACACTCTCATGCATAGGAAGTTGGCGTCTTTAAACTCCGGGTTTCGGAAAATCCTTTACAGATAACCATTTTAGTGTGTAGTTCATAACAGCTCATTGATATTTTCTGTATTCGAATCATTAAAACCCATTACCTCTAAATGAAATATACTATTTAACCACTCATAACAAATTATTAAATAATCGGACGATTTTATGTTTAAATTCACATCGAAGTCACATTACAGGAACATTTCGAAACGTGGGTTGCCATATATTACTTATATGTATAATTTGAAATTGTAATTAATTTAAATCCGTCCGTTCGCGATGAGTGATTAGCAATACGATTAAATGATGAACAAATTTCCATCAAAAGGCCAAAATAATTCTATTATGTTGTAAAAACCTGAAATACCTATATACCCGATATATTTTCGATGTATACCTCTATAATCGTTTGATTTGGATATTAAAATATTACGTTATATCAAATGATTCGACATTTTTGTTTGTCAATATTATATTACCAAAGGCCCTAATTTTGACTTGCTACGTTCATTTTTTTGCTATGCGCTAACCTGCATTACAATTGCTTTTATACAACATATAAAGAAGTTATATGTTCTGTGACTACAGAGTTATCACTAAATGTAAGTGACATAACCGCAAAACCAAACCCAGTTTGTAACCTGTCATAGGCACAAAAGTTAAACCAAAAGCCTTTATTGGTCATAGGTGCATATGTTACGAACGAAGCCTTTGTATATCATAAGTTCTGTACACAAGTGTCATTCTTGCATCAAACTGAGAAACTGTGATCGACAGAACTATTTTGACGAAAGCTGAACATTTGATAGGTTAGCAATTCTCTTTAAGCAACAAAGGCTCATGTTGACAGTCCGCTGGACTGTCGAAATAGGCTTTGTACACACAACTACAAAACAAGTTATGCAAAACCAGTTTAAACTGGCCTCTGGACATGGAATTGTTACTGTTTGATCGTGATCTGTGACTGATACCATTGCATCAGATTGATTGTTGTGTAAATCGACCGATTATAGCTGGCGCAGGCTTTGGTACACCAGTGTAAGTGTAATGGGTACGATTTCTAGTAAACTAAAGAATACAGTGTTGAAATATCAGAGTTTTGTAGTAGGGAGTGTGGTCCTTATGTTAGCTACTTTTTATTTGATGGAACTTGACGAATCCGACTCGCACTTTAGCAATTTTATAAATATTTTTAATGAATATCATGTATGATTCATATTAAAATGTGTATTATTGTTAAATCAAATGACACCACCAATACTCGATCTTGACCATGGAATGATATAAATTCTCGAAACTATAAGCCGAGAGACGTGTAGCGCCATCTATTAGAACACCTGCGTATCAACCAATTCAAAGCTTCATCGTCCCCTACTACTAAAATCAGAATATTTTAAACATACGTTACTAATTAATAAATAGTTAATAAAATCCATTTCTCTGTAACTTTGGGAACATAGTTTCTCTCATATAATATTAAAGGAAAATACTTTAACGTATTTGAATATTAACATGTATAAAACCCAAGATGACCTAAAAGTTAACTAGAGCGAACTAACTTTAACGAAGTTATCCATCGATACATCTTATGCAACTAATCTTCAACTCAAATTAATTTTAAACTAACTTACTTCAGCAGGATATGGACGAAATACGACCATATTAAAAACTTTAATATATTTTCGCCACATTGCCAGAGGATTTTTAATAAAATTTGCAACGTGTTGGTAATTTGAATGATACTTTAGTACCGACGCAGCGCTTGCATGTGTCATCGCCATGTGTGGAACTATAAATTGGCAACATAACTTTAACCTGGCGTTTTAATCATTAGTTTTGGGCATAGAATTTAACTCGTCGAGTACCGGTTTTGTAGACACAATTATAGAACAATAGGTTGCGGTCACCGGTGACCGCTTGGTGTTCGACAGTTTAAACTGTAACAGTTTAAACTGTCAAACACCGAGCGGTCACCGGTGACCGCAACCTATTGTTCTATAATTGTGTCTATAATGACGGTACTCGACGAGTTAAACAGGTTTTACTGAATGTCGGTATTTTATATAGAACGAATGCCATCATTAATGAAATGACGCATTTATCTTATACGTACATAATATCATCTTTTCAAATTGTAAATTACGCTTCAACCCAATCACTGATCAATGGTTTATTACACGTGTGGCTCTTTTATTTTTAGACTTGGATTAGTTTTAGTGATTTTAATGCAAATATAAAATAAAATTAATTTAGAATATGTTGCTGAGCGTTGCATTAATACATAATTATTATAAAACAATATTTTGTGTCTATCGTATCACCCAGTTGCATCACAAAACAAATGTTTCCACAGGCAAAAATAAATTGTTTCTACTAATCAAATCGTCACAACTCACAATCTCGAACAAAATTTAAGGAAAACATTTATATGTTACAAACAAAAAAGTAATGAATTAGCAAAATCTCCCCTACTATGATTGACTTGTCTTGTACTGTGCTGGTGAATGGACTCCAACTAATGCTTTGTTCTCAGGAACATGTGGAATGTCTGGCGTACGGTCTTGGAGGAGAATGAGAAGTTGGCTCGCGCTCGTCTGGCTGCTGTCGAGGTCTTCCAGCAGCAGATTGCTGACGAAGCCAAATTCCTTCGCCAACATAAGCTGAACGTGGCCAAAAAGGTAGGGACCTTATTTATGTTTTTAACAGAATTCGTGTAAGGAGGTAATATGTTTGTTATGTAGTTTGAAGTTACAATTCGTTATGAAAATCAATATTAAATTAATATGATACGCCTGAATACTGAGAGGCTACTTAGTATTAATTCGTAGTTAAGTTTCGTGTTATTTCTGTCTTTTACAAAGGTTTTCTAGTGACAGTAATATACTTACGCGACTTAAAACTTAAAACTGAGTGGCGTTTAAGACTTTGACTGCTAATAAAAAATTGTTGAAGAATCCTCCGCTAAAGCTGGTCACCGGTGACCCCTATGGCGTTTAGCGTGTTAAGTGTTTCAACAATAATCAGTTAATTAATAATATTATTTTATTACATACTTCATACCTTCTTACACGTATTCTGTTACTAGTCTATCTGTAATTCTCATTATGTGCCCATTGTGTCTTTGGTTAATTGGATTTGAAAGTGTTGCACCTTATAAGCAGTTTGGACGATAAACTACTTTTGTACTTGAAACAATTTAAAATAACTTTCATAAATATTTTTAGAAGATATAATAAAATTTAAGTGTAAATTTAAAATAATACTAATATAAATAAACTAACAAATCTATGTATATAAAAGTGAATCCCTTTTTTTCTCTTGGTCACGGCATGACGCGTGAATGGCTGGACCGATTTCATAACTTCTTTTTTATTGTATTTGTTATTATGAGGAGAAGGCTCTTACGACAAAAAAATCTGAGAATCCTACGGGAACGGGAGAAAATGGGATTGCGCGTACGAAGTAATAAAATAAAATCCCATATACTACTACCAGCACTAGATACTCCCGCCCGCGCGGTTGACTGCTGCCCGGTCCGGTTCTCCGAGGGAACACAGTTTTGGCATGTTATTCGAAGAAAAAAATATAAGTACCTACAATAAAATCAATAAGAAATGCAATACAAGATAGAATTCATTTAAAATTGGATATTTAGTCATATTTAGTAGTCAGAATTATTTTTAAAATCATAAAGAATCAAAATTAAAACTATGTGCAGTCTCTAATATAACAAAATAAAAGTATATCATAATCAAAATTAAAATTTAAATCAAAGTCATACACATGTGCTAAGTACTAATCCTTCAGATCAGAGATCGCAAATTCAATAAACGTTTGACAACATATATTCTAGAACATGAAGATAGAAGTGGCACCCCACGGATAGGGGGGTACATCTAAAGCCTGTTGCTCAGAATTTCTGAGAAATACGCTTTGGAAGTATCCTTCTATACCACTACCATCGAAGACCTCAAGATAAACCGAAGAAAAATTTTAAATTAGTCCAAGATTTTTCTGTAATTCATGTTTTCTTAATACGCTGATGTATACATATAATAATATAAATGGATACATAAACTGGGTAAGCCTAAGCCTAGTCTTCATCAATACCACTATAAGACCTATGACCTATGTGGACTCAACTACTAAATATTACAATATTATACCTGTACCTGTACCTGTACCAATATTGTAATTAATTTGTTATAAAATGTGTTATTTCCAGGGTTTTTTTTTTATTTATTCTGTTATTCAACGAAAGATCCAGTCTTTCACAACCGAAGTTTATGAGGGTGTCACAAAGCCGACTGGCTTGTTCTGTTCAATGACAACAAGTTAGGAGGCTTGTGCCCACCCTCTACTCATGCGCTGCGGTTCCAGCTTAAGAAGAATGTTTATTTGTTCATATGTTTAAGAAGATCTAGTAATAAAACGAATTCTTGGAATTGTACGTAGTACGTAGAAGTTATACGCACTTCTACATGACTGATAACCAAATTGTATGCTTTTTGTTTTAATGTGTCTGTTAAGACATGTACAGGAAAGTGGTTTTTAGAATCTCAATCTTCTCTATTTGACGCTCAAACAAGTTTCAGGTTTGGTAAAAAAAAATGGATCTATGTACGTAATATATAATATTTCTGCCCGTGACTGTCAATCTAAAAATATTGTATAAGAATGTAATATCAAAAATAAAGGGCAGACTTTAAGTCAGTAATTTACCAAATCCTATTGAGATTTATAAATAATTTTATTTACACTCTAAATAATTACAAATAATTTTATTTAAACCTATTTAGGTTTAAAAAAAGAAGAATGAAGAGAAAAGGTAGAGGTACCTTCACAAGGCTCTGTTGTGAGTCAGTTTATTGTTCCTCACAAGGGAGCAATGTGACTGTACCTCTCTACCTTATACCATCGAAGCATGAAAATGCCAAGTGACGGCAAACTATATTAATAACAATTTTTATTCTATATAATTTCAATAAAAAAGTATTATATTTTATGTAATAGTGTGTAGATTCTGCCAGAAGCTACCCTTGCATCACATAGTTTAAAATACAGCATGTTGAATCCAGATTACAATGACTATATCCGTACCAAATCTAATTGAGATCCATCCAGCATTTTTACGTAAAATAGTAACAAACATATACACAAAGTCTCGCATTTATAATATTAGTATGATCTTTAATGTATGAAATCATTATGTAAAAGTTATAAGAAGACTGAAGAAGAAAGGTAGAGTTACGGTCACAACGGCTCTTCGTGATTCGTTCAATAGTCGTCAATCACGGAAAGTAGTTGTGTTCGTGCCTCAGTACCAATATCAACGAAGATAAGAAGATGCTGCTAAATCAAGAAAATATGCATCTTATGTATGGCCGGCCAAGTTATTTAATAGACGGGTAAGGAAATAAAGATTTATTTAGAACAGAGGAAGTAGCTATTGTTATACTACTCTAGTTGCGTTTCGACAAAGCCTTCTGAATAGTCGACTAATAGTTACTATCGTCGTTCTGAATCAATCGTTGTTTTTCTACCCGGATATTAAATCACTTGGCTGGCGGTGCGTAATGTTTGCAACGCACATTAAGAAGAAGGTGAAAATTTGATGATTGAGAAGAAAGAGAAGAAAGAAGATGCTTATTTTTTAATTTCTCAGAAATACCCATCATAATATGAAGGATAACTTGTGTCTCGTTTGTATTGTGTGTTTAAAATGATTGTATAGGTTTAGGAAATATTTAGTCGCAGCAACCAAATGGTGGAGTTGCTCTCACAACGCCCTTGTCTACGTAATGTTCAATAGTTGCGTGCACGAGGGATTGTGGGAGTACCTCAACCACAGTCATCGACGACGACGCCTCAAGATTATTCAAGACAATGGATGTATTGAACTTAAGATAGATTATTGCAACTTGTATTACATGTATAGCAAAGGCAGAGTAGAATATATTTATGGGCACACCTACTCTTAACACGGCTATCGTAAGAGTCGTTAAAGGCCTACATATTAAAAGAGGTCGAGCAGTCCAAAAGGAATACGTTTTTAGGGAACGCTCATCTCTGACAAACCTGGTCCTTTTAGACTACGATCTCCTATCCGACTGCTAGGCTTGGGGAATATACAAAGCTCTCTTTTGTAGAAGAGTCCCGTAGTCCAGCAGTGGATGATATTTATAATGATGATAAATGTATCGCAATAAATATATCTGAACCTAAATATTTTTTGTACACTAAATTACCAGAAAATTAAAAAGTTGGGAGATGAGAAGACCCGAAACAGCATATCTGGGTAGGTGGTTCTTTCACAACTACTTCCGGCAGCAATTTTATGTAATTCCTGCCGGTTGGGTTGTGTACAACCCTCTATACCACAATCATCGAAGATTTCAAGATGGAAGCAGAAGAAACTAAAAACCAATATTTAATTAATTCATTCGTGTAATATGTTTATTGTTTTATTTGTTAATACCGTAACCAAGGTGAACGTTATGAATAGCATTAGAAAGAACTAGTGTATCCTAAGAATTTCTTACTTCTATTTGTTTTTGTAAAATTACATATTTTTGTATCTTTGTTCTATTTAAATCTGTATACTGTGTACGTAGTGGTTCTATATACAGGGGGCAGCCAAAGGATGGGGGGCTTTCACAAATCCTATTGCTTGGTCGTAGTTAGTAACGACAATCATTAGGCATTGTGAAGATCCCTCTATCCTATTATCCGCAAACTTTTCAATACCGCAGCTGAAATGTTCGTACCTGAGAACCATTAAGACAAGAAGGAAGAATATAGAAAATTATGCGTCTCATGTATGTCCGGCCAAGTAATCTAGTAGACGGATAAGGAAAGAAAAATTGATTTAGATCAGAGGCAGTAGCTATTGTTATACTACTCTAGTTGCGTTTTAAAAAAGCCTACTGGAGAGTCGACTAATAGTTACTATGGTCGTAGTGAATCAATCGTTGTTTTTTTACCCGGATATTAAATCACTTGGCTGGCTCTGCATAATGTCTGCAACGCACATTGAAAAGATTGAAGAATGAAGAAATTTGTTTTCATTTCTTGATATAGAAAGTACATTTTTGATAATGTATTTCTAAATATTTTGTACCTATGTATCATTCCTCAAGATCGTAGTCAGAAATATATGTAATTCATAAAGTAAAAGTACTTACTGTGCAGGGACTATTTACTATGATGCCAAAATTTGGAATTCAACTTCATGCTCAGTAATCGCGCATAATAGATTATGATGATATTTTGTTTTATTTTTAAGTAATTTAGATAACTTTCTAAAAATAAACCGCAAGATTATCTGGGATTCCATGGTTGAGTCGTTCTTAAAGTATGCCAATTCATACTTTATTTACGGCTGACCTATTGAATTCATTTCACAACATGCTACTTTGTTCCTGAAGCTGCGCTGCATCATCAGAGCTCGGGCCATGCGCCCCGATTATTGCTTCTGCCTTTTATTTTGAAATAAAACGGCACCAGTAATAATGGGCCGCGTGGTACCATATTCATCGAAGAAAGAAGATCATCTTCCTAGACTTTCTTCAAGGTCGGAACAGGCCATGGACACGGAAAGGCATTTCCATGTAAACACTAATGTTGTCGAACATTAATGGTTACATGGAATACCCGGTTCAACACTTCCTAATGCGGTGGATGGTTCGAGTGGACGAAATGGAGGAAGATTTCTAATACTTTATTCTAAACTTATAGCGGTTTCGTAAAAAGATTACGATGTGCTACGCCGTAGGAAGATGTAGCAATTTGTAGCACAATTAGTTACAGTAGTTCTATCAAAATGATGAATTCGAGCATTGACATTGTAAAATAATCTGTTTGTATATAAAATAAGTATGACATTCATTCTACTCACATATAACTTCCCTAAATAATCATAAACATTTCCTTTTTTAGAAATATTATTGGGTTCAGAAACTATAAAATCAATGTGATTACTGATACTAATTAAATATTGTTATTTCATTTGAATGTATTTTATACGTAATGTAAAGTTAACATGATTTATTGCTCCTTTTATTGATTACGTGGCCAAGACCTGAGCAAAAATTGTTAGATTCAATGAAATATTATAAAACAAGAAACTGTAAAATTTTAATTTTAAAAATCTAATTAGAACCTGCACGGAGTTTGGATAACTTATTATAAAAAGAATAATAAAACTAAATACTCTTAAAAAACTTCTCGAAAACTACAGGTTATTGTTCTGGCTACCTCTTTGAATTTAAGAATATTCTTCAAATTATAAAATGACCTTTCTTAATACTTTAGACAATTAAATTATACTTACGTTTATGTACTACAACTGCCTTATTTTGTAAAATCTTCACAATTGTCATAAAAGGATGACTGTTATTATAAATGCGAAATTGTGTTTATTAATATCTGGCAATAGTTACCGGGCTAGAAACTTATAATATTTATTTGACAACACGGGTAAAACCACGAACGGACAGCTAGTATTATAAAATTTACCGTTACATACCTCTACGGTATTTATTAAACTACATTTATATGATAAATAAATCATTTATCCACGAACTAATTAAGTCTTGTTTGCTACGCTTTCGTAGCACGGCTACGGTGCTACGCCGTAGGCAATATGTAGCAATGTAGCAATTTGTTCACGTCATATGTCAATATTGTATTACCTCGTCATTGGATCTGTTAATATTATTCGTTTTTATTATTACAGTGTTTTGTTACGTGTTCACATAATGTTTGTACACAAGTCTCGTGTAAACCATATTTATTTTTTTATATATTGAAGGATGTATTGTTTGTTAGTTGTATATTAAAACCCTGACTTGTAAAATTTGAAATATAATTATTGTACATGTCGGTTGTTCCCAATAGCCGAAAGTATAGATTGTACCTTGAATTCTTTCTATATTTTCGAAATAATAAACACTAACTTTAGTTACTAGAGCGTTAGGTTATACTACGCTGTGTTACGCTATAGCCGTAAACACGAACAAAATTAAAAAAAAAATTCTTTCTTCCTCTATCATATATTAAATGAATATATGCTTTGTTATGTAGGTAATAGAAAACAAACTTTAATTGTTACTTACTGGCTATCGCATTTATCTCGCCAACTCTCAGCATTTATCTCGCTTTCATATTTTTTCTCTCCAATCACTAATATATCAAATTAAACAAAAAATACTCGAAATGCCTTACAAATTCCGCCAACTGTATACCTCTAATATCGAACTCCGGACTCAAAAAAATTAATACAAAAATAATCACTCTGTAAACCGTAACTTAGATTGTATAAAATACAGTTTCATACGAAACATATTGATAAGAAAGTAATTCAGCAGCATACGCCATACAATTCGCAATATAAAATATTAGGGAAATGGGTAAAACGAATAAAACACTCGCAATAAAGAGCTTACAGAATAATGTCCTCGCATCATTAAAGCAAATTATTAACTACCACCAGTTTAAAAAATATGACATGACACAGCGCGAACATAACTATATAAACTCCCTATCGCTATTTTTAAGATAGCAAAATATATGTATTTAAATAATCAAACATATATATGTAATATATGATATAAAACACTGGTTTCTTATACCTTCCAGCTTCTCCAAAGCTAATCATCTCCAGCAGTTTTGATATTGATGTAATTCAAAGCGTTTTATCATTTCAACTTCACAAATAGTAATCTTCTTCCTTAAATATTTCCATAAATTGGCCCATGACTTCCTCAAATCGTTCTAAAAGCAGTTTAATTAATTGCAGGTGCATTTATATTATTTGCGTGTCCTTAAAAAAATGTTTTGTGCATGTCTACTTTGGATGGCTGTATCATCTTATTTCTCCTGTCTCCGCTCCTTGACAAGACATCTGCACTTACAAGTGAACTTTCTGACCAAAACTCTTATAATTTTCTCATAAGTTTTCATTCCTCTGCGGATAATTACTTTGTAATGTACTATTACGTTCAAACCGTTGTGGTTACTCATGATTTGATTTTACGTCTGCTCTGAACTTGAGAAGGCTGGTAACTGCGGTTTTCTTTCTGCAACCTGTAATTATATAAAATACGTATCACTGACACATGTCAATTTCTCATGGCCATGACCATTGTAAAACCAGGGTTCAACTTACTATTGTGCGATATCTTACTATAATATCTTTTGTTTGTTTTTCAATAAGAAAGATGGATTACATATAAATTCTGTATTACTTGTGTCAAAACTGCTTATAAGTAACCCTCAATATATAGATGTCATAATTATTTAAATTAATAATTACTGATCATTGGCATATAGGCTGGGCGACCGGCTGCTGTGCTACATATTGCGGGCTCGATTCCCGCATAGAAAATTTTTCGGCCTGATTTTAAGAATAATGCATGTGACACAGAAGAAATATTATTTCGTATTTTGTCGCGATAGATGGAGGGTTCTATGCTAAATAGAACCTCGTCTATCCGGTGTTCTACAAGTTTCAGTCAAACTTTAGTTCAGGATGAAGCTCAATGCTGACCAGAGCTTTGTTCTTAACACCCCGCCAAAGAACTGGGCGTAAAGTAACATCAAACAGCCTTTAAGCTCTTTTCTTTCTCGGGTTGTTTTTAACAAAGAACCACATCGAAGAAGTCAACTGCTGCAGAAGAATATTATTTATAAGTGTGACTAACAATTTTTCCTTTCATTGTTGTCTTCATAATGTTGCCACTGAAACCTTTTCACCGTTTATGTAATAATTCATCTGAAATGGAGTCAAGACCACGTACCATTGCTGTGAATTGCGAACAATAGGTAAATCAATGTATTAGATAAGATAGTCTTAGATGTTTAAGTATAATGGTCATTTTTTCTCATAGCGTAATACAGCCCAGCACTAAAAGCCTTATGCCCAAATACCGAACCGCCACTCAACTAGCCTGCGGGAAGCAAAGTCGAGTAGCTTTTCAGTATATGGGCGTTAGGGCATCCTCATCTCTTTCCATATACTAACACTTTGTATTTTTTTTTTGTTTCAGTGCACCGACACCCTCGCTCAAGCCCACAAGGAACTGCAGACCACTGTTATCGACGTGGATAAAACGAAGAAGCTGTACTTCGATGAAGAGCACACCGCTCATGATGTCCGTGATAAAGCTAAGGACATCGAGGAAAAGTAAGTACTTCGTTTGCTTGATATTCATACGCTTTTGCCATGATCAATAAGTTTTTGTCTACTACGTAAACCTCTCTAATAGCACGTCACTTAGCTCGATACTTATTCTTTACCTACAATACAGATGGAGGGTGAACACTTCGAAACACGTCCACCCCAACGGTCATCTCATTGATTAAAATCGAAGTGTTATCTGTCATAAAACTGACCCATTAGTCATCATAATCTACCAAAACATTCGTTTAGTTTTAGACATCAAAAAGAATATGGAAATATAATAATCTCTAAATCTGTACAAATCTGATTGTCGAGCTCTGAAAAACGCTCGTTCAGTTTAATAATTCCGAACATTCCTAAATATATGCCTGCGCTACATTGTAGTCCCGTCAAAATTGCAATATACAGGATACAGAGTTGAAGTATTCCATAAATACGCTCGATTTATATCCAAACGTCGAGCTATTTCATTCGGAAAGTTTGTGATCCGTACCATTCGACGTAGTAACGATAAATTGAAAATGTTTTCCATATTTTCTAACGAACATAGGGCTAGATCAATCAAAATTTGAAACAATAGACAGGCAATAAATATTTCTATTTTTATGAAAAGACTTCGTACTTTATTGTACGGGAGTCCGAATTTGAATAAGAGGCACACATTGCATGAGTTGGAAACTCCCAACCGATTCGTTAGTATAACAGGACTTTCAGAACTTTTAAGACTTCAGAAATACACACAAACCACGAGTGTAACACAAATATGTAATAATGAGAGACGAAATTGGAAAGACAATAATGAGCATCCTCTTATATTTGGAAAAGCATTCCTTATGCAGTACATTTGGGTAAGTTACATTACAAAACCATTCAACGGTTTAAAATCAAAATGGTCCTCGAACATCAGGTCACGCGACATCTATAAATTAGAATAAATCAACTGGACAATGCTTATTAAGTTTCTAAGGAAAACGGTGAGCATATCAGATTTATAATGATGGTAATTTTGCAGGCAAGTTGTCTGTCCACTAGCATATGAATTATAAGAATACGCTCGATTTATTATTAATCAAAACTCCTCTACGTTAATAGAGATTTATAAGTTCAAGTTATTATGTTATACATTGTAATATTTGAAATAAAGTAAACTAAAATATAAGCTGTAGTAAACTAAAAACACGTAGGTAGATAAAGAAAAGAAGTCAATTTCGGTCTACATTGCCAATGAGATAGTATCTTTAGATTCTAGGCTAGGAAAATAGGTTGAAAATGATATTGATTCTCATGAGTGACCTTCCCGTGACGCCAGTGCAGTTGGATCGCCGCCAAAATACGCACACAAATGTTACGGAACACCAATACATAGTGTGTTTGAACAAAGTATGTACTCACTAAAGAACATGACTTATGAATACCACAACATCGATGCAGTGTTTCGTAAAATGCCAGCGAATAACAAAACAGACAAGAATATTCAAAATCTTTATAAGGTGGCTTGTTTTCGGGAGAAAGACTAGGCACTATGTGATTTTCACCTCACTCAAATCATCCCGATGGCTACCTTCAGAACCTCTATATATAAGGAATACCGGGCCTTTGGAGTAGATCAACCAGAGTACATTTTTCTGTGTATCGCCTGTTATTGCAGTTCTCTATGGTAGGACAATTATATAAGAACGGTCTAAAAAGCTTCCCACTTTTCAATTCATACAACATTGTCATTAACTTCGATTTCCGAACAACATACTAATGAGAACGTTTCTCTCTTTTTCACAGGCTCAAGAAGAAGAAAGGCTCTTTCTTTCAATCCATAACGTCGCTGCAGAAGAACAGCGCCAAGGTATCTTCTCGTCGTGACCAACTCGAGGAAAAGTCTACTGGAGCCAGGAACGACTATCTGCTCAGCATCGCTGCTGCTAACGCCCACCAGGTAAGCATCAAACTCAAGACTTCATTACAAATAGAATGACTAATTTTGTAAGAGGTACATTTGTGACATGTACATTGTTTTTTTGGTCTTCCAAGATTCTAAAACAAATTTTCTATATTCTTCCGCAGAACCGCTATTTCCTGGTAGAGCTGCAGAACTGCATGCTGAGCATGGAGGCTGCCGTTTATGAGAAGGTCTCTGAGTTCCTGACCTTCATGGGCCGCACGGAGCTACTCACCTGCTCTGCTACACAGCACTCCTTCGGGAAGATCCGTGACCAAGCGCAGCAATTGACCCGGGACTACAACCTGCAATGCTTGTACTTGTACTACCCTGTGCTAAAGCAGCACATTCAGGTACAGTCTTATTCAATTTATATATTTTAAGTCACCCTTTTTAGTGACGGAGGTGAGGTGAAAGGGATTGTCTCTTACCTTCTAAAATTATCCTATTTCTACTCCTGCTTCCTAACCCGCTAGTTCTTCCACAGTTCTGATGTCGTAAGTGAAAAGTATACGCTGCAAAACTTCACTTCGTACACCAGATACTAGTGGACTGTGTGGCTCTGGTTATTAGGCGAGTTTACACCTAATAACCGTTATTTAGTTGTTTATCAAAACCAGAGTTAAAAGCCGAGTATAATTAGAGTGAGTATTGGAAACCTATGTATGGCATCATAGTTTCACTCGGTTGCTTAGTCCGATTGAGCTGTATAGGGATGACGAAGGGTTATGAAAATTGGAAATATATTTAGTCCGTAAGTTGAGTATGGAAAAAACATTAAACACGTATTTTTTATTTTGTCGTCACCTCACCTCTACGTATAAAACGTAGATAGATGTGACGTCACGCTATATTTCAAATTCACATATCGTCGAAAGTATTAGTATCCGTAAGAATACAAAAAAAAAATTGTGTAACGTTTTAAAACGATCTACCAGACGAAAATTAAAATAAAAAATAGTCATCAAAATTGGATAGAATACTTTCATTCACAATTTAAGCCTACTTTAAGAAAATTATGTCAGATCGAACAAGGGATTTTCCCTGTCATCATACTACATTTTACCTTTTCATTAAAATCGCCTTCCACTTGTTAAGTCTTGGTCGAAAGAAATTACACAAATTACTGAATACGTCACATGTGCCAATTTGCGGTGGAAAAAATAAGGAACAGAAAGCAAAATGTATGTGTTTTACAAAGTAGTAATTGTGGGAAGGTGACATAAGGTGGTCACATGTCGCATTAATATTTAAGTGCATCAAGAAGTTGGCGAAAAATTCAAATTGTAATATTTTTATTGTTTTTAAACAGTATGAGTTCGAGCCTTGCGACAATGACCCGATTGATAGCGTGACCATCGAGCACGAGTCGGTAGCCCAAACATTGGGTCAAGAAGCCCGCCGCTGGGCTACTCGTGTGCTGCGCGAGACTTCCCTGGTTCGTGACGCTACCCGCAAGATGAACGTCTACCAAGCGATGCGTGATGCGGGACAAAAGGTGAGTAGCTTCTTCTATTTCTGAAAACAAACGTAGACAGATTAAACCATCACATTATCGAAATTCGTTTAGCCTGATTAGATTCTGAAAATATGACTGTTAGAATTTTATGAAAAATGTGCGATATTAAATCAATTTCCCCGTACAAACAGACAAGCTAATATGTATTCAAGAAATGCAAATACAAAGGCATAAAATGTCCGATGTATAAAACTATTGAGTTGAATAATTGATTAAATGGCCCTGGGTTGCAAAGACGACCACTATAATTATTGGTTAACTGCCTCCTAGTACAGCAATTATGCGAAGTCGGATATTGCTTTTAATTCTCAAATGATTTAGTATTCTCGTAATTGCTAACATTTTCAACGTGAAGCTCTAATTCAGAAATTTGTATAATAAATCAGTAATTCACTGCGGACATATCTATCAATTACCTATATTTGGTCTGACTTAAATTTTGAGATATATACTATCTGTCAAAAGTAAGCTCGCAAATGACAGAAATGTTTACAGGTGGTATTCAGGTACAATTATTATGTAAAAACAAAAAAAATTGATTAAACTTTTTCAGAGAATTAATATTTTTATCGTGGCAACCCTAGAAAGAATTATGAAAGTTAATTTGCTGATCGTACTTACATAATGATAACGTTGTGCAACTGCAGCTGACAGTACACAGCCCTGAGACGGTAATCATGAGTACAGGGTGGTCAACTCCTTTTGTTACTACCTATTTTTTTTGTTACAAATACACTTTTTAGAAAATATCACACAACATGCTTAACACTTCTTTGTAGATTTATAAATAAAATAATATCAATTTATTATCTTGATTCTTTGTCGTGATTCTTCTTAAGAGATTTGATTAAAACACCGGTTTACTCACGTGAAATATTGAGTAAAGCTCTACTAGTTCCAAATAGCAGACAGACTCTTCTCCATGAGCCGCGTGCGCGAACGCATTAGTATATCTACTACTACCATCCCTCTGTGATTCGAAACTAGTAGAGCTTTTCTCATTATTTCACGTGAGTAAGTCGATGTTTTTAATCAATTTAGTATAGCTTATAAGATTTCGCATTTACTTTTATGAAGTACATTAAATTAGCAATAGATTACATTACGTTTCATGAAACACTTTTTAATGCATTTATTTAAATAAAAATATTGTTTATTTGCTAGTTGCTAACACACGAAATATAATTAAAACCTTCATTTTATATATTGCTTAGAAGTAAACTAGACAATAAATAAATAAATAGAAAGAAATGTTTCACTTATGCTACGCCATAATATTGTTATTTATTTCGCTAACAAAGGAACTATATAATTATAGGCTTATTATAATAAAAATATAGTTGCATTAGAAAAAACAATAATACGCCAAACAGTTTGTACTTGCTAGTAAATCGCTCTGAATATTTAATGGCCACTATTAGCTAGCACTAGCCGCGAACGGGTGACGGCGGCATTCGCTCCATTGTCTTCGTGCATTGCACTTCTAATCACCACCACCATAGTCATCAATAAATTAATATAACAGTCTATAAGATCTATAGTTATGGGCTTGGTCTTCTCCATTTACGATATTTGTAGGGGCCTTGTGGTGAGATATGCAACATTTAATGACCAAAATAATCTAATTGTCGTAATATATGTACACATCGGACGCTGTACTTTTTGCGCAGTATTCAGTATTAAGTGTTACGAAATAAGTATAAGACGATTATATATATTCTTATAACTATAATAACACTGATTCGTGATAACTTCAATTTTTTGATCTTACAAAATATTTTTATAATGTTCGCGAATATCCGTTGGCACATTATCGTTTTACTGTTCATGTTTTTCGAAAATTTTGATGAAAACGTAAGTGTTTTTGTAGGAACCTGAAACCTGGAACCTGGTTATGTAGGATAAGGACTTAAATGTATTGTTTGGTTGCCTGGCAGGTGGATCCGAATGATCCCAATGGTCCTGAATTGGATGTTCGCTTGGATGAATTGCGGGCTACAATCCGTCGGTCGGAAATTTCCAAGGCCAAGTATGAGTCCCGCCTCGAGTGTCTGCGTGTGAGTGGTGCTCCTGTAGACGACTGGCTGAAGGAAGTGGATCTGTTGGCTGTCCAGGAGCCATTGCAGCGCAGTAGCAGCCTGCTCAGCGTTCGCACTGATGCTTCTGGTGCAGCTGTGAGTATTTTCTATTGCTAGTCCATTCAAAATATGTTATTATTTACTGACCGTGAAGAGCCAGTACCTCCCAATTGACATTGTTCGAATGATTTACTTTTGTTTTCAATTAGCTCATTGAAATATTTTTTTCTAAAGATATTAATTAATAGGAAAAAAGGTATTGGTACTTCACTATTGCTTAGTATATACTTTGTTTAAAATTCTTATGGTAGTTTTTTGCTATGCTACGAATCACTTTTCTACTAAATTGAATTAGTTGTTATCTACTGTCCGTCGGCAAATTATTTCTATTTTTAACGCTCAGCGAGTTCCTTTCTATAGCCAAAGCTTTGTAAGCGTTTATTTTTTGTTTTTATTTTCTTAGCAACTTATCTGTAGTTCGTTTATTTTACATTGGAATATGATGTCGGACGTAATATTTTTATTAGACGCTGCATGACTATTGATTTTTAATGAAGCAACAGCGATTTTTGTAGTTTATTATTATTTCGTAGGTCGTGAGTTTTATTTTTCTTCTAAGTTACATTTTTACATAAATTTAGTTTAGAAATTGACTTTGTACTAAGGTCCATTAAACAAAATAAATATAAATTGATTTCTTTAATATTTGTTTAACTAGGATCAGCCGAGCTCTGATTCGTTCTACGATAGCGACAATACTGAGGGAGAAGGCACTTCAGCCTCGGCTTCGGCTTCGGCTTCTGCCGCCGTTGCTTCAAGCAGCCATCAGCGCACCACCTCTGGCTCCCAGAACGATGACGAGCATGATGAAGACGTTGACGGTAAGTGGCACAATCACAGTCAGTACTCACGAAACAAAGGTTTTATTTGTACTTACAATTGAACCATGTGTTGTTTATTGGAATTTTTCAGAGACGGACAATTCTATTTTGACGTTTCACTAGTTTCTGGTTTAATCATGGTTTAATTAAAATAATTATTACTTTGATTTCGATCCAAAACTTTGATTACAATTTTACATAAAATGTTGTAACTTTCGTTTAGCTATGCTGGAGGAGGATCGCATGCGCATCGAGCAACTGGCAGTTGGTTGGGATGATCCGACCCAAGTGAACTGGGACGAGGGTGAACCAGCCGCCGAGACCGTTGAAGCTCCTGCAGCTCCTTTGTACAAATGCACCGCTTTGTATTCCTATACGGTAAGTTTACCGACCAATGGCAACAAAGCCCAGTACGTCATCTGCGTATCGAGCGCCGATCCTTAAATAAAAACACATTGAACCTTCTTATTCTTCAATAAAAAGTAACTAAATGATCAAATTTTTTATTTACTTCTGCTATTTTTTTGTACGTTTTTCAGATTCTCATTCTCATTGCTATAATAATCTGCGAAATAAATAAATGTTAAAAACATAGTTGTTCTTCTATTTATTTAATTCACATATTTCTTTATCATTACTTGTGGTAGTTTTAAGACCGATTCTATATTAGTGTCATTTGTCATATTTAAGGGTAAGTATTATAATCATTTTACATTTACGGATGGCATACGTTTCATGTGTATAAATAAAAACATTAGATTGCTTATATGCTCAATGTATTAGAGTCAATCCTAAACAAACACGCTCCATTGGTTTCCCTCTCAATAGAAGCACGAACCGTGTTAATAAGCTTCGGTTGGACTCGACAATTGATTGATAATTTTGGTTAGCCACATCTCCGGCGCGATAATGATCTGTCTCTCAGTAGATAGAATTCTCGGTTTAGGCCCCATTGTAGGCAGGATCTCCAAGTCGAGATTACGACGCTTCGATATGATGTACATCTGTTACGCTCATGCTATTGTTCTCCTTCAATGTATAGCAGGGACGGAATTTAGGTTAAGTAAAATGGTAAATGTTAAGCACTAGCTTAAATATATTCATGTCTTTGTCAAAATGGTGTTTCATGACAGACACGTTCATATTTAAGCACGTTGTGACATTTGTTAATAACCATTGTGTAAAAACCCGTCAAAACCGCAAACAAGTATTTTATGTTTTAATAATTCACGTGAAGTAGGACTGTTTAGCTCGCCGTCGAGTAGTTGTGTATCTGTACACCTAATTTAACAATTAACTTTGAGATACACTCGAGACTTGAAAATGTAACCGCTTAATGAAAATTAATAAAAAATGTAGTTATACAAAATAATTGGTATAGAAACTCAGCTTTGTCTGTAAAACAATGTTGTTGTTGATTTATATTACAAATGCACACACAAATCAAAAATTCGTTTCATTTCCCCTCTTCCACTAAAATTGAACACACACACCACATGTAGACACCCACTACACATCCGAAGATCATGCTCGCGATTTTTCCAAAATTCTTTTTTATAATTTGGACATTATTATTCTTTATTTAACAATTGGCTATTAATCATCAAAATCCACTCAAATTTTGAACAATACATCACACTATATTTTCAACTAGGCTCAAAACCCTGATGAGCTGTCGATCATTGAGAGCGAGCAATTGGAAGTCGTTGGCGAAGGAGACGGCGATGGATGGCTTCGTGCCAGGAACTACCGCGGCGAGGAAGGCTATGTGCCCCACAACTATCTGGATGTCGACCGCGAACAGGTACTGTATGCATCCCACGACCGACCCCCAACGACTGAATAAGAACCTGTTGGAAACAACTTCATACTTTGTGATGAGTCAAAAAAAATTACTTTACATCAATAAAACATTAAGCAAATTTTATTTAAACATCGTTTTGCAATCATAAAACACATTGAAAATAAATATCGGTTCACATCAGTCGTTGACTATAAAGGGTTTCCTTTTTTTGCTAATGAAATATATTGTTCTTGTAGCCCTGCACCAGCTCGGGTGCACCGGGTCTGGTTTCCCAGATATCATTCTCTTCGGTTGATTACACCGTCGAAGGTGAAGATGCTGATGTGGTACAGTCTCCTGACCAGATCTCAGTGATCTCGGCCCCCGCAGCCAAAGCCGAAGAGCCTAAAGCCGAGGAACAAGCTCAACAAGAGTCCTTCGTGGCTGAGTGGCCGACTGCCGAGACCTCTAAGGCATCTGCTCCTGCGTCAGCCGCTCCAAAGCCTGATCAACCAACTCTTGGCTATTGCTTCGCCATGTACGACTATGACGCTGAATGTCCCGAAGAGTTGAACCTGGAAGAAGGACAGGTGCGAAGTCACTTGATTCTCTTATGCAAACTTACAAATACTGAACATTCTCTTCATAACACTTCTCTTTGTACAGATTATCCGCATCCTGTCCCGCGAAGCTCACGGCGTTGACGACGGCTGGTGGCGCGGAGAAGCCAACGGAGTGGTTGGCAACTTCCCATCACTGATCGTGGAGGAGTGCGATGAGGTAGGCCGTCCTATACAACCACCTGAAAATTCTTTCGAATGTCGATCGAAGAAAGAGGGATTCTTCCCTTTTGGAGTACAAATGAAACGGGCAGATACGTGATCGCACACAAAGTGCCTTCCCAGAAGGGGTGCCCAAAGTGATACGCAATAAGAGCTTTTTTTACTTAAAACCTTTTTTTTATTTAATTTTCCTCTTTTCGTTGAAACCTTTCGTCCTTCTCCCTGGAAATCTTTTAACTTACTGACTATTGTTTACACATTTCTTTGTTTTATTTACAGTTTTTTCCTTGTTTATTAATTACTTGACGTATACTTATTTGAAGTACATATTGTATGCAAAGAACTGGAGCTGATGTTGTAAACTTAATAAAACTTCTTAAAAGGTATGTTCGTACGACTGTACTATAGTAAACATGGGTGGTGCTACTGAATTCGATCTTCAGGTGAACGGGATAGTTTTTATAGCATTTTGTCATGAACAATTGAACATTTTTGAATTTCGAGAAGTTTATATACATATTTCGGGTATATAAAATGGTTTTGAACAAATAGAACGGCGAGCCTCTGAGCGGTGGCGAAGAGTGGCCACCGCTGACCACTGCTCCACCAGTGTTCGCTTCACCGCCGCACACACCACCCGAAGCTGCCGGCGCCCAGGACCGTAAGGAACTCATGTGCATCAGTAGCTTGGTAGCCAGCAGAAAGGGGACAACTGTTCTTTCCTATTGATACAATCGATAGAAGACTGAAACTGGAAACGTCTTCTCGGTAGAAGACTGAAAACAAAACTCAATTGTTATAATCTAAGCTTAATCTTCCGCTATGTTACTATATATAAACGCTAAAAGAAAATCAAGGATTTTGACTACGTAATTATTTATTTAAAGGAAAGAATCATATAATAAAACGTTGGTACTTTTCGCCGTAACTTACAGTCGATTAGTCGATAAATCAAAGCAGTCCATAAAAATCGTTACCAGCAAAGCATTTTAAAGGTGACATGAAAAATATAGTTATAATATTGCATCGTCCTATCATCGGTTAAAGCATAATTACTAAGTATCCCTTCTTACGTGGACAGCTATCACTTAACATGTGCCGCCTATTCACAAACATACTGTTTAAACTGTCTTGTCTGTTTTTCAAAGTAACGTGTCAATATGACATTATTTAAACCTTGAAGGAAATAAAGCTGACATACCACTTCAAGAAGATTTTATAATAACTAAAGAACTGTGATTTGGAAATTGTTTTAAGAATTTGAAGCTTTTTGGCTTTGCAGTTTAATTTATTAATGATCCTATATTAAGCCTATCCTTTAAGCAAGCGCAGCTCGTTATCGAACTTAAAAATCGACCAAAGTTATGTAATATATGTTATATGATAATGATATGATAAAATTGAACCATAAAGAGACATTCATATAGCATTTTTGCAATGATTTCGCTAACTATAAACGTTAGCATTGGTGTTGTATAGACGGACAATGACAGTATACAATAGACGCATACCAGACATAGGCGCATACTCTTCAATACATAGTATAAAACAAAGTCGCTTTCGCTGTATGTCCGTATGTATGCTTAGATCTTTAAAACTACGCAACGGATTTTGATGCGGTTATTTTTAATAGATAGAGTGATTCTTAAGGAAGGTTTGTATGTATAATACATGCATATTGCACCCGTGCGAAGCCGGGGCGGGTCGCTAGTTAAGAATAAAGCAAATTTTTAAATTACATTGATACCACTTTGCATTGACCTGTATGACTGTAAAGAAACAATTTAGATGCAATAAGTACCTTTTAACCGTCAGTTTTTAAAACAAGTTGTCCCTTTTCACAAGGCCTTTGATTTATGAATGTTTCATGTACCTATTTCATGGTCGAGATGGTAGTTCTGGCTGATTGGGCTAATACATTATTGTGTATTCCAATTGGCATGTTTGTGTCGCACGTTTAGCCGCTAGGATCGACACCACATTGTCAATAATGCATGTATTGCACGAAGTAAGTATTTGTAAATAGTTATTTTTTTGTTCCAAAACGCGATCTTTGCTTTAACATTAAAAATGTTTAAGATTACAAAATAATTTGCTGCGCTTTGAGAAGGATCTGTGAAGAGACTTTTTATTAATTGAAATTTAAGTCATAGAAATTGATCTAGTGTCATAATTGTTAGGGAAAGAATTCGTGTATTCGTGATTTAGGCTTTCGTAAAAAAATCGTTTTACCACTGAGCTAACACGCAAGCATGGTGATTAATGCTCAGTCCTTCTCCATGCTAGAAGAGGCTTTTGTTCATCAGTGGCCACTTATAGACTGATGATAATGATGATGACTCAGAATTTGGAAATTGTAACTCTTTCTTATTCGTTTCCAAATCAAACGAGAGCAATACTTTAAATATCTGAATCGCAACTCCGGTTAAAGCATACATGGTGCTATTCACCCTTCATGTTAGAGGCTTCAGGGTATTGCACACGTTTTGTCATTTTGAAATATACTCATTTAGTCACAAATAGAATTCAATATAAGTGTCTTAGCCAAAGTGAATCGTTTTATTCATAGCATTAATCTTAATTGTTGATAAAGAGCCTCTTTACGAGTTAGATCCGAAACATGTATTACAATAGGAATTATATAAACAACATACGTAAATAAAAGTACATAAATTTTTTTTTATAGTTTTTATTAAATATTTTGACAGTTTTATTATATTATTCCACACTATATATTACACATAAACACAAATACTTAATCTAGCAAGACACGAAATTCTCACTGTAATATTAAATTGAATGATAATAAAAAAATAAAGAAACATTGTAAATAAAGCTTTAAAAACTAAAATTGTACAGCATTGAGCATGAATACATTAAGTTATCGATTTGTCTATAAATGGAAAAGTAATCGAATGTACCTACCACCCCATTTTATCATGATGCAATTAAAATGTATCCTTACAAAAAACAATATTCATCTTTTCAAGACAAATGTTAAAAATACACCCATTAGATCAGATTAGAAAAAATTCGATCACGGTTTGAAGTAAGAAATAAAGACTGAAAACTGAAATCTCCATTAACGTGAGCAACTACTGGACTACTGAAACCACAATGACAATATTATTTTAAAATCAAAAGTTTTAATAAATGACGAATCGGTGACAACGTGTATTCTCCCATAACCCTGATTGGCCAAGTCACGTCCAGTGATTGCATGTCAAAATTTGCACTGATCCTGCTATGGCTGAACTGTATATTCCTATGGACGCTGCTAGAGGTGGAGATTGACAACAACAATACTAAAGGTGCTGCGCCCCCCGATGCCCCACCACCACCGCCGCCCCCAGATCTTGGGGACTCCATGGATAGCCAGCCCGACTTCAGCTTTAATCTTGAGCTTAGCAGGAACCAGCAGGAGCACTACGGCACTCAGTTCGCCGCCCCATCTGTTACTATCGTCGGTAAGTTCGATATCACATCTGTACCATGCGTTTAAAACAATAGTATTTGTTGATACTCGATGGTGGTAGACGTAACTTTTTGTACGGTTTTACAGTTTTACTTACGAAACAAAAATGTATGTCGTCTCTATCGATTATCTACAAACACTATTGCTTTCAACTCATGGAAGAGGTCAAGCTGCCCCTGAACTGCTAGACCAAATGGATTTTCGACTTAATTACAAATTATAAAGTTGAAAGTCAGTCCAACTTTGGCTGTTTGAGGTGACTTGATGTTTTCAAAAGGATTGCCATAGTCAGGTGCGATTGCCAAATAAATAATAAGAGTCACTTCTCATACAAAGTAAAATGTAGTACCGAATGTTTAGTCTAAAATTGTATAATGAATGGACTTGGCTTACAGAAGCCTAATATAGAAAATGAACTCAGAAAAAGAGATTTATCAAGTATGCGTACTTCATATGACTTGATTATCCCATTAGACTGGTTTTAAACAATTCCTAACTCTGTAAGGGGTACTATTCCAGCATTTTCCATAACTTTATATTATCGTTAATATAACATATACCTAGTGCCAACTCTTACTCGATTCCCGATAAGTAAAAAATCAAAATCTACTTATGGATTAAGGAATCTACAGAGACTAATATTATAAATGCGATATATGTTTGTTTATTACTCCTGCATGTCAAAATGACTGAAGAGATTGGGATGAAATTTGAAACACGGGTATATTATCATCTGGAATAACACATAGGCTTTTTATTCCACGGTGAAGTCGCTAACAAAATCAATATAATAAAGTAATCATATCAATCAAAAATTTCGTCTTTTTAAAGATGGCACATCTGTGTACGTAGAAAGTAGAACTAAGACATTAGCAAGATTTTTACTCCGAAATCGCGGGCGATGGGGTATAGATATAACATTAATTTTCTCTAATAGTTATTGTCTTCACGTAACATAAGGTGAATATATTACTGTGTAGTGGAATGTACGACTCCATGCTTACACTAATAACTCGGAAACAATCACTAATGTATAAAAAGCGGTCGCATTCTATCCACGAGATTTTTATTTTGTTATTTTTGTGCAGAAAATGAAAGAATAAATACTTATCAGGTAGCTTTGCTCGAGCAGCTTATGTCTATTATAACTGCATGTATGCAAAATTTCAAGAATATTGGTTGGATAGATAAAACGTAAAGCAGTAACAAGTAAACAGACGAACAAAGTTACACTCGCATTTATAATATTTTTTGAAGTTGTTGGAAAAATACTGTTAATCTAATAATATCAAGAGCTATAACTTTGTGAAGTATAACAATTTACGTAGTTTCACAACTACGCAAGTACACGATGTAAAAATAGTACACAAATCGTAGAAGCCATTATTAAATAAGAAGTTTTCAAAAGTTTACCTTCTGTTGTGGTAATAAAGTTAAAAACACAAAGACGTTTGTGGGGTCGCTCTATTTAGCAAACTCACTGAAATCGTAAATCGTTTACGTAATTTCCTGTAAGTTATCCATTTGTTTTGAAACACGAATCCCGTCAAATTACGATAGCAAGAATTTTCCTTTGATATGACTAATTTCGTTGTTATTTTTTAAGAATTTTCCTTGTAAATGCTTCATTTTCGGCGTGACTTATATATAAATGCGCAATTCTAAATAAAAAAGTAAATAGGGAAGAAAATTTCGTCGGGGATTTTAGAACACTTGACTAGATATGCATATATTATGCGACCATGAAGTAAATACCATGCGACCCAAGAACTCTAGTAATCAGTGTATGACATTTGGCAATACATTTGAAAATAAATCTTCGTATAACCTTAATATTACTTTGATCTAAACAAATTGTAATTGAATTTGACAGTGATAATTTAAACTAAGCTTCTACTAGCGGTACTAAGCACATTATGGTTACTGTCAGACAGATTATACATAATTCATTCTTGTAGAATGAATTATAAAATTTTCCGTAAATGTTACATAGATCAAAAACCTGCACATTTTGCCAATAAGGTATGCAATATACCATTGCATTGGGTAGTCCGAAATCTTATTGATTCATTCCGACATGGCTCATGCAGACAAGTTACAAAGGTAAGAACATAAAATAATTGTCTGGCATAACACAATAAGTACGTGTCAAGAGTTGCAGCTAAGTTTAAATTATCACCCACATATTCGACTACATCCTGTATAGGTACATAACTGTAAATAATAAATGATACATAAAACTATCAACTAACAAATACAGTGACACAGTTAATTCTCAAATGATATTCAATTTACTGAACTGTCACCTCGGCTTCTTCAATACCCGAATTCACTAAACGCGCGATAGAGCGCACCACTTACAAATATATGCTTGTACATATGTATATGAGTAAATATATTATGTCAATAATTGAGTTCCGTTTGAGAATGTAGCTGGCAACCTAACACTAGCAAGATGTTGATATTTGCGTAGCTTTCGATGTATTTATTCTTGTGTCAGGATATCTGTGTAAATGTAATATTACTTTGTTTATGTTTAGTGTTAACTTAGTGTGAATTCTTTTTCATGCTTCAGTCGACGAAGTGGTCGGTGAATGCTGGGAAGAGGTTTGACTCCATAATACAAATCTATCCCTCTATACACAACTATGTACCCCTACATGTTGCTTGTTGAAGCTTGTTTACATCGTAGCTTGTTGCTATTGTTATTGTTTCAACATTCACTTATAACTCGGTCCCCAAGAATTATAAGTGAAACCTGAACTTGAATTGAACTACTTTCAGTAGCTCATATCATCATAGCATGTCGCTTCAATGCATGAGTTGAATTTACTTTCGGAATGCGATCAGTACTGTATAATCCGAAACTTTCAACTTCTCTCTGTAACATTGTTATCCCATGATGTGACTAAGCAAGGTGTTTCCTCCACTAGAACATCCCGGAGCCGGTGCAGGCGGTTCAGACTGAGCAGACCGCGGAGGACTGTGGGCTGGGTGTGGCGCAGATCGTCATCACCGCGGCCACGCCCATGGTGGAGGAGCCCGACCAACCATTCCCTCCACCAGAACCAGAAGCCGAAACTGAACCCAACGGTGAAGCCGAAATCAACTCAGAGACGCTGCCCGAACCCGAGCGCGAGGAGAACGATGACGATGAGTCATCCTTGTCAGAGCAGACAGCGGTCTGCTTGCGGGACTCGGACGACGGTCCGGCTGACTCAGCCCCGCACCCGCACTCCAGCTCGACGGCCTCCGAGGGCGAGTCCGGCGGCGCGTCCGTGGCGTCAGGTCCACCCACCGCGCCTCAGTCGCCGCCCGCGGCTCCGCGCGGTGGCCGCGCCAGCATCCCCGACGAGCTCGAGCCCGCGCAGCTGGCCCGGCTCACCGACCTCAAGGAATCCAACGCTTAAGGCCTAACTCGACACCGACCGGCATCCTCTTTACGATGTCGGCCAACCACTGATCGTTATCGATCTTCTACATTAGACCGTTTCTCTGCTATCAGTTTTTAGCGATTTATCCTCGCAGTAGCGAGAGGATGTAATGCAGTATTATACCTTACCTACTATCCTATCTACAAATTATTCTACGAAAATATTTTTATGTGTGTATTCACACTATATTCGTTTTCACTGATGTTGCTGATGTTACCCCTGCGAACAATCCCAAGTAGTCAGAATTATTAAAATGTACTAAAGTAGGTCTAAATGTTTATTTACCTAGTAAAATGGTACTAGATGTTTACTTAGCCAATGTTTATTGATGTTAGAATATCTGGATATATAAACATTTTTGATGAATATGTAATATTTATAAGAGTTTATAATGGAATATTGGGAAATCAAAATTAACGATAAAATTGTCGGTGATCTGTTGTGTGTAGAGGAACGGTCGGGACATGTAGATTGTACTGTATATAGCTAATGATACTTATTACTAGTTAATAAGTACAAGAGCACGTTCTAGTACCTGCGAATAGAGGGTATGTTAGAGGCGTATGTTAGAGTGACGCGACGTGTTGACGTGTCTACAGAGGTGTATTACGGCTTGACAACACCAGCCGGGAGGAACCAAAGCGGCACTCATTGCAATGTAATGCGAGGCCCGCGTGTCTCAAAGCAAGAACCATTCTAGTTCCTCGGCTAGCGATCAACACGCGAGTGTAGCGATGTAACTAAGCTCCGTCGCTGGATATTGACACAGTGCAGCGCATAGAACAACGACGTGCGAGTAATCGGCGCACGCGTCAATATTCATCGGCGGACGGTAGGATTAGGAAGAAACAGGGTGTTACTAGCTTCTCTTCATTGACTTCCCCTGCGACACCCTGAGCCCCGAGGCTCGGGTAATAACATCAATCGTCCACTGTGTACCATCTGCAGCGGCCGAGTGTGGAGCGCAAACCCATCCTCATATTTATGCAGTCGTGATGAGACAATATACTTCTTACTTTTTATCTTAGGCACTAGCCTATGTGGCACAAACATCTGAAGTTCAAGTAGTCGAGATGGCCTCGCAGTTTTCTATTGTTTATCACAAAAATATCACTATTTATTATTACATTAATTCACTGATACTCTCTAGTTGGTTATCAAATAGTTTAAAAAGAAAGTTTATCTTGTTATATTTGTGATAATTGTCTCATCGTATCGATCCTTCATCGTTTAATTGTATACATCCTCGCAACCACATGAAATGCATATCATGTTTCTTAAGCCAAATTATTTCTGCTTATTACTGTTACTTCAACAACTACATGTTCCTTTTTGGGGTTGATACATAATGGAAACGTATAATAATATAATAGCTTGATAACGCAGACATACTGCGTCTGGTCACCGTGAAACGAAAGATTTTGGCTTTAGGAAATTTGAATAAATATTATATCAATATATAGTCGTCTATTACATTTCAATGTACTACGTAGATGCTTAACATAATTCTGTTAAAGATTTCACATAATTATTAAATTAAATAAATTAATCGACGTACGTAGATAAATGTTAACCAAGTAGCTATTAGCTGTTTAACGATGTGATTCATGTGTTGTGTTATTATATCATTGTTCTATATTATTGTTAGTTATACATTTTATTGAGACCCGTAAAAACATTGAATGTTCATTGGATTGTGTCGTTTTCAATTGCGCCTCTTCAGCCTCGTTTCGAGACAGTCGTATATCACAATTGTAGGAGATTATTATAATATGTGTTTTTACGGGTTGATCCACGTTTCAGATACTAAAAAGTTGTTTAATAAATATCCTGGGAGGTATGTAGCACTCTGTGTAGTATATAGCCACTGTATTAAATGATGCACAGACTAGTGTTGACTGTACTACAAACTTAACGGTTTGTGGTAACTATGATAACTACACTATATCTATTACAATATTTAATGTTGCTTTTTCTTTAGACAACTTACTTGAATAGATACGTTTTTCTGCTGGGATTATATGAATTATATTCTGCTTTCGATCAATGTTTCATTTCGCGTTGGAATGCCAAACGGTTCTCCCACCCTTTATAATTACTTATTGAATAAAATTTGTGAACCTATAAGTGAACTTGAACCTGTACATAGAACGTGGAATAAATAAAAATGTAAGTATACTATTAAGAGTTTTATGCAAAAACCACATAATGAACTAACTCTGAAACAGACCAAGTATGGTATAAGAAAAAAGACTATATACAAATTAAAGTAATCACCTAGTCGAAATCTCTGATTAATATATAATATCTACGCAAATGCAGTGTTTTGGATGCAATATCCTTGTCATAGACAACAACAAGGAATAGAATGACTAGGCATTAGTTGGACCTACAGACGCTACACACACATAAACATAAATAAATCTTTAATACTAAGTATATAAGAGCTGAAAGCTTAAGAAATATTATGAAACAAGATAGAACAAAACATATAATACCTAGCAGTTTGCACGTACAATTAAGTACCTAGTACAAACATATACAACTGGTATGACTGTTATATATAAAAAGTACCATAAGGTATAATATATAACCTCTATATATAAATGACAAATAGAGCCACATTACAGTACATCTACATATACATTCAGCTGTATACATGTGTATATACGTATCTGTAACGCCCACGCCATCTAGGGGCGCACGCGCATTGGATGAAACCACTTGAAAGATTACAGAATATAAAATACCAAGCTATATCGATCTGACATAAATAATCTTCATATAATAGAACTATTGGTACTTCACATAATCTCAGCATTTAAACGCAAAACTAGTATTATAGTAACAACTAGTATCTATTCAAATATTTATACCTACTGTTTAAAGACTATTGTAACTATTATTACCTGATTGTAGTTAATGATAGGTACCGTGTGTAAAACATTCAATAAACCTACAAACGAAATATCAATTAAATTTTCTTTACTCGATAACACACATTCGGTGTAAGATATATACCTCTACAAACAAAACAGATCTTATTTTAATGTACAATCGACAAAAGTATAGAAACCCAGGTCTAATAATTACTATTAATAAATTATTATGTCGGAATACTCAAACGCTACTCAATTTTAAGTCGTGCTTAAGTATAGTTCTGTCTCTACAAATTCTTTGTATAATGACAGAGATAGCACGATATTTAAGCACGACTTAAAATTGAGTAACGTTTCAGTATTCCGGCATTAGTCTATCAATGTACTGAAGAAGACGTTATATTTAACACCAAAAATGAATAGCATCGTGTAAATACATAGAAAAATGTCAACATGTTTACCAACATATTTGTCGATTGAACTTCATGCCACCTAACTAAAAGTACCACTACTTGGTTTTAATTATCTTTAAATACTGTTTTACTATAATATTAAATACTTTGTTAGATAATTTTTGCTATGTTTAATTGTTTAACTTTGTATTTTACTGAAGTTTCTCTAAAATATGCCTTGTTGACGTAGAGTGTTGCAGCCAGCACCACACTGCCGTGAAACGAAGTTTTTAGATGTAATATTATAGTGTTAAGTTAGGGTGTCTTCGTATAAATTACTAGGGAGCGTGTTTTTCAATAATATACCCTAATCTTGCAAACATAGGGTCGGCTATAATTAACACGCTAAACGCCATTGAGGGTCACTGGTCATCGTCAGCGGAGGTTTGGACCAGCTATATATTGGCAGCATTATCAATAATTCCAACTTTTATTAACTGGATTAGCACTAATTGCTCGATAAGTGCCTTCTACGAAGACGCTCTAAGAAAAAGCCTTTAGTAGTCTACTAGAGAAAAAAGGCGAAAAACTGCAAATTAAAAAACGTAAAGTTCTTGAGTTTTTCTTGATTTTCATAGTATTATGACTTCCATTCTATTGTAGTCCCTATTTGAGTGGATTTTTTATGAGTTTGGCTGTCTTCTCGCCGGTCTGTGACGGTAAATCTCGGGACGTGTGGAATTTCGGCCGGTTCACAGTTGAATTATGGTATATCCTGCGACGGGGAGGCCGGAATTAGGCACAGCCTGCGTTTTAATATCCGTGCGCTGCATCGGTGGGTTCGGACAGCTTGTAACTATGCAACGTCTAGTAGAGCAACAATGGCATCTAAATTTCCACTCTTAATCTAATATTGATACTTCGTGGTACTTTTAGACATCACTGCATTTTGTTTGTATAAAATTACACACGGTACGGAGTGTAATTAAGGAAATGTAAAGGTTTATAGTAAATTAGCGGCCACCATAAGGTCGCAGGTTCGATGTATGGTTGCTTTAATGTTTCCCCAATGCCTTTTCGACCTGCAATAAACTTTCTAAAATTGAATTTTTTGTTGTTTTATTTATAGAATTCCGTTCCTATGGTTTACGTGTTTAAGAAAAACACCAACATAAAAATACATAATATAATAATAATTAAAATTCGTATAATACATTAAACTACCCTTGCGGTTCGGCTTACCAAATTCAATGTTAAGCCACAAGATAAGCCACAAAATTAAAGAAAATAAAGAAAAATTAAACATCCTCACTCGCTACGATCACTACCACGTATTGGCTACGCGCGTAGCAAACGCGTAGCAGTGCCGCTACGAATAACATTGAACGTTACTACGTACGCTACAAAATAACAGTATCATACGCAAAAAAGTTTGTAGACATCGAAAATTTACTAAAAACTTACTATAAAATATAAAGTGCGGGTCAAATTGATTGCGTAGACGTAAGATATATGTTGCTATTTCTTGATTTTGTTTTACTTTTTTTAACGTTCCTCCCACCCATGAAAAGCCTAACGGGTAGCCGGATGTTCAGGGTCCTAAGTAAAACACTGCACCTGCAATTTTTTGGCCAATGACATAAAAAAAACAAATAAACAATTTCTTAGTACCTAATTAACAAGGTTACTGTGGTATTACAAGGCAATCTATCTAGAACTAACTGACAATTTCTTCAGCATAGTCCATGTCTATGTAATAACGCCAATTATATGCAGCTGACATTTCTTTCAAGACTCCTTTGTTTCCATGAAAGACGAGCCATGGTAACGGTAAGTTACTTTTAACAACAAAGCAGAACAATTATTTATTACCTATAATTGCGAACTAAGTTAGTAATTGCTATCAGCTAAGTCCGTCGCTTTTATGGTGGGTATACTTACTAGAATTACCTAATTCTTGATATTTTTTATAGGATAAGCTGATGAACATGTAGACGGATCACCTGATGGTATGGATGGTAAGCAATCGGCGTCGTCCATGGACCCCGGAACACCAGAGGCATTACAAGTCCGTTACCAGCCTTTTGCGGATTAGTAATATGAGGATTAGGGATGTGAGAGATTGGGGATGAGGGACCCTCACTCACTCACACAACGAAATACAGTGCAAACGTTGTTTCGCGTCAGATTTCTGTGAGGCCGTGGTATCACTCCGGTGGAGCCGGCCCATTCGTACCAAAGTATGGCTCTTTCTTGGTCCGGACGGAATCCCAGCCGTGGTTTTAAAAACCTGTGCACCTGAGTTGTCTCCAACCATGACACGCCTGTTTCGACGTCATAAACGTCACGTCCATACTCTGCAAGAATATGAAACGTGTACTTAACAATACACTCCTGACATACCTTTAAGTTAACACCTATCTCCGCAGCGATCGGCAATGGTTTTGGCACTGCAGTCTTATGGGCCAGCTTCCTGCATATGGAGTTCCTGCTGATCTGTGCAGATGGATAGCTGACTTTCTGAGGAATCGGTCAATAAGTGTAGTCATCGATGGCTGCTCGTCCGCAATTCGCTGCAATTCGGTATTAGGTCAGTACTTTCAACGACGCTCTTTCTGCTGCACATAAATGACCTGCTTAAGACCGGTATGCAGATGACAGCACAGTTTTTGAAAGGTAGGTGTCCAATGCGCGGACTAGCGGAAAACAGATCCGCCGGCAGGCGTGTCAATTCTGACACTGATCAACGTGAGCTTCTTGGCGTAACTCTTACGCCCACACTTAACTTTGGCTCCTTTATAGAGTCGAAAGCGCAACTGACTGGTAGGAAGTTGAGTATTCTATAGAGGGTAAGACGGTACTTCACGCCGAAAAAATTGTTGAGCCTGTACCAAGCACAGGTTCAGTCTTGTATGGAGTACTGCTCTCATTTTGGGACGGCTCGGCCAAATATCAGCTGGATGCATTAGAGCAGATCAAGAGGCGTGCCAAGAGGCTCATCAACGATGATGCGCTTGTGAAGGCCCGGCTTCAAAGCCTCGAACAGAGGCGTTGCAAGCCTTTCAGTCTTCTACCGAATACATTTCGGTGAGTGTGCGGGGGAATTGCACAAGTTGATTTCCCCTAGTCCTTTCCCTCACCGTACCACAAGACAATGGGCGAAGCCTCACCGATTAATGGTAGATGTCCCATCCATACTCACGAAGCGCTTCGCATCAAGCTTCCTCGTGCGTACTGCTAAGGAGTGGAATTTTTTGCCAGAGTCTGTAGAGTATAACCTGGGTGTCTTCAAGGCCCGAGTGCATAAGTTGCTTATGGGTCGATGTGCTCCATAGAGGCCACATCATCGCTTACCACAAGGCGAGATAGTGGTTAAATTTCAGTCCCATCTTATGCAAAAAAACATCAATTCAAAACATGTTTGATTACCATTGACATGCATCAAAATACCTATCGACTGTTTAAAAATACGGAAATATCAGAACACTTAGTCAACTGGGCTGTGCCTAGTGTATCTAATGTAATGAAAATAAACTGTAAAGCGAACGAACACATTTGTCAACCGACTTCTTACATCTGAGCTTTATTCAAGTTAATTAAAGCCAATTAGGACATTGTTATTGTCCACATCTTCTGACCCAGATACTACAGGCACGATTTCAAATACTTTATTCATATTTGTAAACGGAAAATCTACAAAGTATAAATAGGTAGGTCCCATCATAATTATGATGTATCCATCCATAAGATGATCGTGATTTAAGTTAATTAAAATTTACAAAGCATCTGAATCATACCGATATCCCCAAAATTTGTTCATACAAAAATAGTCTCTAAACATCGGAAATAAGCTCTATAATGGAGTTAGTGAAACGCTTGAGAGTTGAACAGTTAATACAAGTTATGGATTCTATAACATTCTTAAATAATGATAAGCAGTAAAATCACGGATTAAACCGAATTATCTAAAACTTCATGTACCAGGGCCGCAGAACACGACAGGAGCACAATTTAAATTGCGAAATGCGTTGGCGCCAGGGGCTGTACGTACTAACAAACCTGTCCACCTCCCTTTCTAACACAAAACTGCAGTTCTACGCCAGAAAGGGAGTGATATATGCAGTTGATTCGACTAGCGTTATCCTTGTCTCCCAAGGAACATATTCAATTGATGCATTGACCAGTGACAAATTAACTCCTATAACTGAATGTCATGGTCATACATATTATGCAATACAAGATGGCAGTTTTATTATTGGAATGGAACTATATGTGCTAGAATAGCCGTAGGAAATATTTTGGTCCTTTTACTATGTACCTCGTGGTACGATAGACCAGCAATCCGCAATGTCGAGTCGGAAAGAAGTCTCCTGATTTCTCTGAATGATCAATGGGTTAACGAACTTTCCGAGCGCTTAAACTCGTAAGACAATAATTGTTAGGATGATGTCTCAATCAAAAATAAAGTAACTTTTACTTTTTCATATTTTTAGCAAAAACTCTGCAACCTGCCTACCTTTAGTGGTTACCCATGTATTTCTAAGGCCACGCTATGGCACTGCCGACAACCGAAGAGAAAACAATGGCTATAAACTAGTTCCCTATACTTATTACACTCTTTGACTAGTCACTACTAACCGTAATTTGATTTAGAATCGTCGATTTACATATAACTAGAGCATTAGTATTCGACACATAGTTGTAGATCAGTAAAAAAAGATCAGTTTCAATTCAGTGAAACCGTAATGAAACCGATGTTAGAGATAAAAATACCACAAATAAATAGAAAGCCCTAAATAATCAACGAGGTATTGTGAAATACAATCTCTAACAAAATTAATAATAAATTAAAATAAATAAACAACACAAAATAGTCCACAACGAGTTTATTTATTTATTCAGATATAGAATAAACATTCATTTTACAAACAGTGTTACTACACAACATTAATTTGCTAATACTAAATTTCAAATACGATCACAAGGTAGTCTTAGAGAAGAGGTAGTTTTTGAAAGGAAACACGTGGCTTAGGTGTTTGGGTGGTCGACAAGGGAATACAACATCAATACAGTAGGGTACAGTCATACAATAAACACTTATTACAATTACAAACCATCTACTACGTACTCACAATATCAATAACAATAAAAAGCCAACTAAACAAGAAAAAGTTCAGCAAATTACGCAAATACTATGGAGTAACAGTGTTTGTGCTTCCCACTCCAAGCTCAGCAACAATAACAAAATAAATATTATGTAGGTATTTGGAAACCTAATTTAAGTACTTAGTACATTTATTATAAATAAATAAAATCCACAGCCACTCCAGTACGGCAATCGAACAAAGCCAGCCCTATAGAATGCGGATAGTGTAATTCATTTTATTTTGTGATCTAAAAAAATAAAATGGTACTTAATCCTAATTCTACTAACGGAAATGTTCCCCGAAGTTGATGATATAAATAAACGGTACACAGTTAAGACGTCACAAAAATGCAACGCCCAACCGTTATCAGTTATCAGTCAAACCTTAAAGTAGAATAAACTTTGTTCAAAATGGACGTTTCTGTTACAATGTGTCTGTGACATTATTGTTTAGTTCGACAACTTAGTGCCAGATAGAATTATCAAAAAAGATAACATGGTACACAACTAGTGTCACAAGGTTCGGTTTCAAAAATATTGTGGATCACAACCGGATTGTTTGTAAACGCGATATGATACATTCCTATGACTTATGGGTTACGTTCATTTCAGTTACTCGCAACAAAAACCGCAGTAATGTCACGCATTGTACTCAGACGCAAGAAGTAAGCTGACTGCTCCCGTTCAAGTACTTATACGGACTAAACTGTTAAATAAATTATAGATTGTATTATTGTACAACTTAACCTAGATAAATCTAATTGGTAACAAAAATGCCTTCAGATGAAATTATATTTAAAATAACTTAGAATATTCTGCATCATTGTAAATCAGCAACAAAATTTACCGTTCATTATTATGTTTAGTAAGATTAGATAATACTACTACGATTGACGACAATCATCTATTTTGAACTACTTGTTAAAATGCATGTGCTTCTCGGGTCGTAGTAACCCGGGTAAGAGGTCACTGGGGCTCTTCAAAGTGCACAAAGACTCGCGAATAGTCGCGGTAAGAAGTACCGAGCTATTCTACATGTTCATACATGTTAATAATATACGGTAGGTAGTTAAGAACTTGTTAAATTCAATACTTTTATCGATATGTCAAAAACGATACTTTTGTTTGAAATACACACTTATGTCTGACGTGATCATATTTTTGCGTCAAATAGCACACTTATGCGCTAAAATTAAGTATATCGTCAAATTATTGAATAAAAGTGTGATTATTTTTGAATATTTAATTGTAGTAAAATGAATAATTATTTTTTGGGAAACTGTCCAATTACAAACGAGCACGCATCGCCACATGATGGACCAAGCTCGGAAAACCCCGTTCCTATGACCCGACATTCCTAAATTTAAACACACATCGATAAACATCTATTGAAACATCGATATCCATCAAGTTGAGCTAATAAACACTGAATTGAATACACGTAAACATTTATTATGACTATTACGAATGCATTAATGGGAATTATTTGAGAATGTCAAAATTGGCCATGAAATCGCTGTTGAATATTGTGTACTTGAAGCTGGACCACACCTGAGCCACGGTTGCTAAGGTCTATCTGAAGCTGTTCGTCTTGTACTGCTCGTAAATCTCCTGGAACATGTTCCTGCAGTTCATCTTGATTTTGAGCTTGGAGCAGAGGAGGAAGACTCCAGAGAGCTTGCGGTGCAGGGAGTATATTTCCTCTGGTGGTGGGCAGAGCCGGTGCGTGAGTATAGTGGGCACGAGGGCCTGGATGCGGCGCGTTGTCTGCTGCGTGCCGAAGTCGAACTCCCCTGCACTCTCGCTCGTGAACACCTCTCCCATTATCATCACCGTGTCAATGTGCGTCTCCTCCATGATCTGGAAAACAGACATTAATATTATGATTTTTATTTATAATTACAACTCTATTAGTGTTAAAAATATGCTATAGAGCCAGTATCTAAACAAATCTTTAGAAAAATGACACCATTTTGCATCCATCCTATTTTAAAAGATTTTCCTTATAAGCACAAACCTTCGACTCGTATCCAGTGAGGAATTTCATCTCGCGTGACATTTCGAGAATGGCTTTCCTGTCACCGCGGGAAGCAGCGTGGATGATCTCAATGTACTGGTCCATGAAATCCTTCGAGTACTCGCGAGTGGCACCGAAATCTAACAGGATAACCTGTAAGGACATTTCAAAGAATTTTAGTACTTATGAACAATTAGTTTAGTAAACGATTTTCGAAAAATTTTAGTTCTTTTACCAAAAATCTGGCAGACTGTATACAGTCAAGTAAGTACACATATAATTATGTTTTACTGACTTTAGGTTTAAAATGAAGCATCTCACCAAAACATGTTCTGCTAGGCTATTCTCTAAATGTCAATTCGATTTTCCGAAGTCAACTCAATCGCATTCTCCCCCGTCATTGGTCGAAATAATTTTCACAACCAATGACATGGCGGATCGCGATAGTGTTAGTCTTTGGAATTGAAAGTTATGGGCCTAGCTGTACTAATATTTACTGTAATAGTACTGGACTTTACATATACGAGATTGAGAACGATTTTGACGTAATTCTCATAGAATTTCTTCTATATAGATTTGGATTGAAATGTGTTATTAATTCGGCTGATAAATAACCTACCTGTTTAGTATTTGGGTTGTAGAAGAAGTTCGCCCAGTTAGGGTCGGTCTGCATGCAACGCAGTACAAACATCTCTCGCAGGCAAAGCTGCATGATCTTGTATGCAATGTCAGCCCGGACCTCGTACTCTGCTTCAAACAACTTGTCTAGTGGCACGCCGTCTACCAACTCCGTTGTTATTACTTCAGGAGCGCAGAGTTCATCTGGAAATGAAATGAAACTATGTAATTGTGCATCACTCATGTTTTCTACATTCATAAATGATAATGAATTTTGCACCACAAGTTCTTAAGCATATAAATCCGCTATATTTAAATGTAATTAATCGGTTATTGTTAGCGATTCAAGTTAGCGGTGTTAATTTAAGTTTTACAGAAACAGTAAGAAGAAATAAGTATTTTCGTGCGAATTTATAACTATCTATACTTATTTACTTGCTATATTTTTATAGTCTAAGTCTAATTCGCATTTACTATAATTACTTAAGACTACCTATTAGTCGCAACGTAGCAAACAAATTAAAATTCGCATATATTATATTATTATCATATTTGTACTGACCAATGACCTCAGGGACGAAGTACTCGGGATACGGAGCGAGCAGCTTCTTGAACTTCCTAGTACATTCAGCCTCGCGCAAGTAATCCACTTCCCAGGCAAGCTCTTTCTTAGCAACCTCGACTATGTTGTCTATGAACATACCCTTGGGGAATATGTTCCATACCTGGATGGATAACGAAAGAATAATTATAATAAGATTTTAAAAGGTCTACTTTGGCTATTCAACTGGGTCATTATCGTAAATTCGTAACTATCAAACTAAGCCATTCCCGTGAGCGTACTGCCTTGAGTAAAGATGCGGTAAATGTTCTATCAGGATGTTTAGACGTTACCTTCATGACTCCAACCAGGTTGTCAATGTCGCTGTTGATGCCCTTAGCAACGCCCGGATATTGAACCTTGACCGCCACCTCCTTACCGTCGTGCAGCACTGCCAGATGAACCTGGCCTAAAACCATAATTTTATAGTTAAATAAAAGTACAATAGGATACAGTCATTAAATCAAAGTTATGTAACATTAGCGTAATTTCCTTTCAACTAAACGTAGAAGTCCGTACCGATAGAGGCAGCCGCGAACGGTTTGTCTTCAAAGCTAGCGACTCTGTGTCTCCACTCCGGGCCCAGCTGAGCGCTCATCACCTTCTCCACTTGCCACGATGGCATGAAGTCTGCAGATTGACGCACGCGTTGGAAAATGCGCTGCAACTCCGGTGATATCATCGAATCATCTTGAATACTCAATAGCTGACCAAGCTTGAGGGCAGCACCTAAAATAATTTACACCGTAAATTAATAGAGAAATAAAAAGCAAATACAAGAATTGGACAAGTTTTTATGTTCCCATTGTACCTCGAACTTTGCACAGCGTATCGACGATCCTTTCAGCATTCGCTGGCGATAAGAACGCATTGGCGGACTCATCCACTCGTCCCGTCACAGACTGCAATGTGTTCCTAGCATACTGGGCTACGGTTCCCACGCCCAGTCCGGCTGCCAAAGATCCGAACGAGAACATCCGTCCGATACGCGAAGAGGGCACCACTCGTGGTTTTGAGTTCTCACTCAACTGCAATTACATTTAAGTACACACACAGATGAGAACGTTCTTGATACAATAAACAATGGCACAAATAACACATATTTTAAACTTACAGCTACTCTGATCTTCTTCTTAGCCACAGGCTTAGGCCCCATCGAGCTACTAGACGACGAAGAATCAGAAGGGCTTGGACTTGGCATAGGTGTGTCTATCCACACAGGTGCGGGGTAAGAGGAAGCTATCACCCGAATAGTGTGCTGCACCTCGCGGTCTTTAGCCTCCTGAATGCGATCGTGCAACTCCTCGATGGGAGCCGAATATTGAGACGGCGCAATGGGCGTGACAGCGGGAGCCGGGGGCGGCGGAATATCAATGCTCTGAATCTTCTTCAGTGTATCGAAGGTTCTGTTAAACTCCCTGTTTAACTCCTCAATCTCTTCTTTCATCTGCTGGTCGATTTCGGGGACCGGCACGTTGGCACTCATGTTTGGAACTTGTAGCACAGCGAACTGTCGAAGACCGTGCGCAACTACAAAGGCCCTTTCCACGAGCTCTTTCGCAGAAGGTGGGTTAGGATTGAAGGCTAGTGGGTTAGTCGGACAGTTGGAAAGTATTTGCTTCAAGCTAGAGTTATTCCATAGTATACTTGATACTTCTTGCTGAGTTTTCAAACCCGCTTCCGCCACTAAACGGAGCCCGCGCAATACGCCTATTAGATCATTAATGTGGGACATGTCCTGAAATATTAGTTCGGTTATATACATATTTATTTATAATACATACATAATTACATACAATAATGGGTATCAATTTAATGAAAATATTAGCAAATAATGCAATGACGTTGATCTAACATCGTATGTTGCGTACACGTCGCCAACCTCATCTTATTTCTCGAGTCACGAGTGACTCGAAAAACCTGTAAAAACTTGTGTCCTATCTAAGAGGACATCTTCAGCGATATACCTACTTACCTCCCGCAATTTACATAATAAAGGCCTCCCATCGCTAGGCGACTCTAGGTACTACTTATATTTATATGTCCTTGTCTATTCGACCTTTACTAAATGTCACCTACACACTTCCTACGTGCTATCGACAACAACACCTACACACGTACTGGGGAAACCGGACGTGCATAATAAGACTGAACGCATACTGCGTCAAAATAAGTTTCATTCACAGGGCTAACTTTTTGAACTCAAACTTTTCTTTAACATTTCGTTTATCCAAAGAGTAAATATATTTGATCATTAATCACTTTCATTTAGTCAATATGTTACGCAGTTTATTTAATTTCATACAATGATGTCATATTTTACCTCACATTATACGCTCATACGTTGCTTTGCAGGTAAGTCTTTATTCACAATAAACATCGTGAAAGAAGCCGATGTAAAATTGTGAATTATTATTAAAACTTAGAAAAGTTTGCGGCCGGAAACAAAAGGTTGCGAGTTACTGTGCGGCGGCCTTTACTTCGGAGAATCCTGTAGGGACGATCGATAGCTCGCAATGTAGCCCGTTTAATTAGGACTCGAGGTGACGGCGCATGCGCGAGGACTAGATGACCTAGAATGCAGTTCAAAGTACGACCCCTGGCAATATCCCTAGGAAACAGCTCATGACCTGATTTCCCATAAAACTTAAAAATAGCTCATATATAAAAATTCCATCAGATAACACAGGCTGAAAAAACGACATTTCAAAGCTTCTTCAATATTCAGTCTAAAGATACAAAGATAGTTTACATAGCAACAGGTAGTTGATAAAACCGAGGGCAAAGAAACTTGCCATGTTATTGTATACAAAGACGCTAATATCAATTTTAAGGACTTTATCTTCTGAACACTCTTAGATAAGGTATAAAAGACTTAGACCAAGTACACCTTCCTTTTCTCATAAAAAAGCTGACCGAGATTAGCGGAGACGGAAAATCCTTTGTTTCTGACGATGACAAACCAAGTGCACGGAGACCGAAAACAGAACATAATTTCGCACTAACCATATATATGTACCAAAACTCCTATGAATCCTTGAAAATATATTTTGTACTTACCATTGAGAGCCGATGGTTGGTTGCTGTTTCCTCCGTTGGCAACAGGTGGTAGGGGTGGGTTGGGAACCGGAACCTCAACCGTTATGACCACAATCTCAACCGTTTTTTTTTCTTCTGGGTAAGCCATTATGGAACTAATAATTTAAAGTCTCTATGCAAATATAAATTATATTAAACACAATATCTTTTTAAAAGGCAACAATGCCTGAAAACCACCTGTTACACACAAGTCACAAGGAAATCTAAAGTAGACCACTCAAGCCAGTATGAATGTTCACAAAAAATTATGTAAGCCTCCTCCTACTGCAGCTGCAGACATCTACTGAATCAATATCCTGAGTGAGTGACAGATTGACATACCTTTTACTTTAATTGCCATAACATGCAGATTTTATCTCCCTCCCACAGATGCACAGAGTATATAAAAGTAGGTTTCAATGTAGGGAACATTTCCTAACTTGTAGGGGAAGTAGTGCATAACAAACATAACCTATGTTACCTATTTGACAGCTGTTTTGAATGCAATTTTTAAATTCAAATTTTTTGTTGCCGCCTTTATTATAGAAATTGCGAAGGAACAAAGTATTCATTATTATATTACTGCAGCTTAAATCGATGGCTGTAATTGTTGTAAAACACGTACTTACGTATAATTTCGACTTGAAAAGAGGTTATTTTACTTTGCCGAATTTTATGAATGAGGTCATATAGGATATCCCTGGAGTCCTCAATGACTTATTGTAAATAATGTTAACTAATGGTAATGATCCATTTTCTTCGATATACATGAATATAAGCGTAGGTGTATGTACAGCAATAACTTTCAAGGTTATATTAAATATTGCATAACAATAAAAATATATGGTTAATCATGTCAGAATGTGTATTAATCGGTCCCGAAATAAAATTTAATATATTTCTTTCCCGCATTATTATCTTAATTGAAGAGTAACCTGCGTTAATCTTAGATTGCGCGCACTCACGAAACAAATGAAGTTATATACTTACTGCAATTTCTTAGACACCTCAAATTGAAGAACTGAATCGTTAAAGAAATTTAGTATTAATAACAACACATGATAACAAATAAATACTCGTGCAGATTGATTTATTTACGCAATTTTTTTAAAAACATCCAATTTCTTGTCGAATCAAATGTCAAACTAATGTGTCAAAGTTGGTCGCCCATTGTCTTGAATGTCATAGTTTTTTTTAAGGTGTCTGGCTATTTATTTATTAAGTAGGAATTTTAGACATCTACAGAAAAATTGTAAATTATAGCGGTTGTGTGCAATATTCTGACTATAAACCACTCTAATGTAAAAACTTACACGAGATCGCGGGAACAGAACAAGGTGTTTCTTTCATTTTCAATCTTAGAATCCTGAAATGATAGGCGTCACCAATTTGGACCCGGGCAGGGTGAAGAGATGCGACTTTGCCCAATTTTTACATTCTTTAATTATTTTAAAGATACTGGGGCCTAACCATATCCCTACATAGTTACTTTTAAGTTTGAAATTATAACTTAGATATTTTATGATTTAATTTGACCAGTATGAAATAATACGCTTTGGCAGAAAGGTTCTAGAATGGAGGCCACGTACCGGCGAGCGCAGCGTAAGACGTCCTCTCAAGGTGGACAGACGACCTGATTAAGGTAGCAGGGAGCCACTGGATGCAGGTCGCTTCTAACTGGCCTACCTGAAAGTCGTTTGGGGGGGGGGCATGTTCAGCAATGGACGTCCTGTGACCGATATAACGATAATGGTGAAACAATACGCTTTAAATCATCATCATCCTGATTCCCAAGTTAATAATAACCAAGGATTAATACCATTCGTATAGAAAATAAGTAAGAAAAACAACCACTTCAGTAAAATCAATTTTTATTCTTAATACTATTTCACAAATAAATATCCAAATGCCTTGATAAACACTTTTAAATGCTTTTGTAAGAATGTCGAAATTATTAAACCTTTAATAAATAACTAAACCCTTCTCTCGCATAAATTAAAACCATACATATATTTCCTAATACAGTGACACTCATTTCCACCCTTGCAACCAAAAATACCTAAATATTTTGCATTACTCATACATGGTCATTTATTTATGAACTCTAGAGGGATTGGCAATAACAGGTTACGTTATTGTGTTTTTTCTGGTTTGCAAGAAGAAATAGCCTCACTGTGTATTTAAATAAAAATCTGATATACAAAACATCTATGGTAATAAATAAATAAATTAATGTTCACACTAATTTGTAAAGACATTGAATTGTTACTGTATCAGAGTAAACACATATCTAGATTATGTTTACGTGGGCCATGTGTATACGACCATTTCTCACCACCAAAAGTGCTGATGATGTACACATTTCTTTATACAACAAGAAAATGTGCACTGGTAACAGTATATAATTCAGAGCAGATGTAAAGCAAAGTTGTTTCATTAAGGTATTTCGAATCGTACATTCGCAACACACGCCCACGTTTAACAAGACTAATTACATAGCTAAGTCGTGTAGATCATAAATATGACATTAAATACATACAACATAGATCACATATAAATATACTAGATCAAGTCTCGCGTTGTCTTCTTCAGTACACAAGCATTTATATGCTTCCACCTTCCTTTTGCCTACCATCGCCCGATTACTATACGAAATTACTGAGAACAGATTAATTCCATTCCCAAGACCATTATAACCTAAACTTCCACCGACAAATATACACGCATAATTATTTAAAAGGAAAGACATATTTCAGAGAAAAGTATAAGCAATGTCTACTTGAAGATATCGGATACTAGTCGAAAAACATCTACAACACAATTATAATACCATAACATTATATATCATTATTAAATACGCAATGACTTGAATTAATTATTATTAAACATGTAAATCAATTATTATGTATTATTCAATTATCAATTTTAGTGATGATATTAATATATTATTAAGAATAGTTCATTACTACGACAAAATCACTTCAATTTAAAATGTGACAACCTTATATATTGTCTTTTGTCAGACATGTAGTACTTATTTCGCAATTCCGGATTTCCTAGGATTATAAACCGTTTAATATTTTCTCTTAAATTATTAAATAAGCCAAGTGGTTTTGTATCAATCATATATGATCACCTAATCAGCAATATTTAACAATTCCATATTTCAAAGGACTATTTTATGCTACTATTCACGTTTTCTTCATGTTCTGAACAAGTCGAGAACATTAATAATCATAAATGTGTTAATAAGTTGTCTTATCCTATTACACATACTTATAATTTAATGTGGGAGCTAGAATATAGCCCACAATGTATAAATATGATAAATATAATGACCATCATCAAGATCCCTAATAGATAAAAAATGGCAGTGTCTGCCTTTATGTTAGTCAAACTACAAAAATTCAATGACCCTAAGAGTCTTGGAATACATGGAAACTACAATATCTTTGATTTGAGCCTCAATCTGACACTATAAAGTGCCCCGCTACTAACCTGATCGTGCTTCATACAAATAGTATGTTTGTCAAGCACGATGATAAAATCAGTCCACACGTAATCGCTTCTTCTTACGTTACAATCAAGGACGTCATCGACAATATCCTAGATAACTACAATAAATACGTTATACGATTATATTATACGCGGCATTAGCCCTACAGTTTATAATGAAAGCAAAGTATTACACCTACTTAATTCACTAGAAATTACACAATGTGACTTCCAAAAGACCGATATATAATAAAAAATACATAGTATAATTTTGAATATTATCACCAACGAAGCTCGTAAATCGCACTGGCAACCGTCGGGAAGAGAGATGTAAGACGGTCGTGCATAAGGAGTAGGGAGTAAAAACCTATTAATTTGAGTCACACCTAAGACATATAATCACATAGGAGTCCTTCACTTTCATAGGGCTCTAGAGTCTAGTCGACGTCGATTAATACGGACAGAGGACGTGCCGCGCGTCGGGTACTGTAGACGTTGAAGCCATGGATGGGTACGATACAATTATATCGTAGGGCAAAGCACTATTCTTGTTTAAGGGCTTCTAGACGTTGCATCACCACAACGAAGTCACTCTCGGGCAGCGGGGTGCAGTGGGAGGACCTGTAGTCGTGCAGGTACTTTCCAATCTGAAAACACAATTATTTATATATTATTACACAAATAAACTGCAGACCGTTAAGAAAATTACTACGTTTTACTCCTATAATTACATTTAATTATTTAATAAGCTTGCTGCATAGGCACTTACCAAAGGCAGCAGGGATCGTTCATATTCCTCAATCTCGTTCCTGTCGAGGATGTTGCGCTGAAGGTCCATGAGGGCAAGCAATTTAATAAGAGCCACGCGAACATACGGATCCTCCAAAGCTTTAGGGTGTCTGTTGTCGATCACCTTCAATAACAGGTCGTTGCCGCGGTTGGTCGACAGGATGCCTTGCCTAAAATTTTCAAATAATATCTGATTAATTTTTAACTAAAATGTTATCTCATTGGGCAAAGTATTTTCTATTAGAGTTCTTAGTAAAATGAATATCAAATTCACTTTCAAAAACATATTTCATAATGGGAACAATAACATTGAAAACTGTTTAAGTAGCCATATTCATAAATAGTTCATTATGGCTTAAGATTCTTTGGTTTATTCATTGAAGATAAAAACTAGAATAGCCCTTAGATTTTTAGAGGGCACGGGAGTACTTTTACCCATGTTGAGCAAAAAGCGGAACGGCTACACTATCCTTTTCTCGAAGCAGTCACGCCATTTTCGACCCTCTCAAGTGTATTTAACACGATTTTACAATATAGAACCATCGATATGCAGTATGCTTGAACAATGTACTTAGAGACGCACCGAATATTCGTATTTGGTTATGCGGCATATTTTATCATGTTAAGTCAGTCGATTAGCCAAATAATTAAATTTAGTAGTAAACCATGCGGTTAATAAAATGTTATTTCAAATATTTAGGCGCTTCTCTAACTGCACCGCGCCCCGACGCCTGCCATCCCGCGCGACGGCATTGTTTTGTGCTAGGCGTGATTGCTACATAAATTGAGATACTTCCATACAGTATCTACTACATTTTGCCATCCCATGCGGTGCAGTGGGTGGAGCGCCTAAATCACTACATAGTATAAAACAAAGTCGCTTTCTCTGTCCCTATGTCCCTTTGTATGCTTAAATCTTTGCAACTACGCAACGGATTTTGATGCGGTTTTTTAATAGATAGTGATTCAAGAGGAAGGTTTATATGTATAATACCTACATGCATATTGCACCCGTGCGAAGCCGGGGCGGGTAGCTAGTATTTACTATAACATATTATTAACAAATGCAAACAAGGTTGGTTACCAAATGTAAGTGTGGCTTATTTCGAAAGTTAATTTTATTTTATTTTTTCAATTACCTACAATAATTTCTTTACCGAGCCAAACACAATCACAAATATTACTACAACTATAATTTGATATAATTTCATCACATATGTTTGTAGTTATGATGTAATCAGTTTTTTAAATATAAGTAACTAGCTTTTACCCGCGGCTTCGCTCGCGTCACAAAAGGATAAAAAGTAGCCTATGTGACATATACCAATACACACAGTGCCATCTATACCAATACTTTTGTTTTCCCTCGGGAATATCACATTTTTTCGGGATAAAAAGTACCCTATAATTTATACCGGACTTCTAACTTTCCGTCTGCAAAAATTCAAAGCAGTCGGTTCGTAGTTACGGCATGAAAGCGGAACAAACAAACAAACTCACTTTCCGATTTATAATATTAGTAAGGATGTAAAATGAAATGAAGAACGAAAAATTAGCACAAATTCGATTGATTAGTAGACAGAACATTCGGTGCATCTCTACTTGAACACTTTTCTATAAAAACATGTTTCTTTTTATAATAAACCAATGAGTTTCGTAAATGGAGCTAGAAGCATAATGCTGGCACTTACTTCTCGCTGTTCAATCTGTGTAAAAAGTCAGATGCGCAGTCCTCGTGATAAGCATGTGTAAAAAGAAGTATTTAAAGCCAGATTTAAAAATAAGCATATTCACAAGCATTATGTGTAGTGTTTTAATAATCCTACTAATGATCATACCATAAATGTTAAAAGCTTGTGAGGATGTAAGTATGTTTATCTCTTTCACGCAAAAATGAATCCCCGAAATGTATGTAGGGCATATCAGTTTTCAGAACAACAATACCAGACTGGATAATTCTTTCTTATATGTGTTCGATACTGTTAGGAAAAGGTTTGGTGTTATTAAATCTTTGGACAATTTCATATTTTATCAATCCTTATATACTTTCACAAGACAAAATCAAGTTACATGTCTTTACAGAACATGATCTTTTCGTGAATTATTTAACTAAAGGAGTATGTAGTTTCACAATCTCACACAATTGTGAGTATGTACTATGTAGTTTGTAAATTGTAGTGTTGCCAGTGTTAAGATTGATATTATTTTGTTGATATTTATTTGTTAGTGTATGTAACAATATATCCTTCACCTTACCTTCTCCATCATATTGGCTATGCTTAGTGATCAAGATGTTTTGTTAAGTAAAGTTTTTTTTATAGAATACGTCGGTAAATGAGTAGACGGTAATCCGTCTGCTGCATCAGGTGATCCTGATGGTAAACAATCGGCGCCGCCCATGGATACCCGAAACACCAGAGGTGTTGCAAGTAAGTTACCGGCCATTTGCGGATTCGGGGTTTGGGAAGATTGTGGAGGGGTAATTGGCCCTCCAGTAGCGCTCACATTCTAACGCTCACTCACGACACGACGTGTCCAGAAACGTGTTGTTGAAACAACACATACGTTGTCATGACACGTGTTGTTGACACATCACTTAACACGTTAAACGCCATGGCAGTCACCGGTGACCGACATTAGCGGAGGATTTGCCTTCAACAGTTTTTTATTGGCAGCCAATGCCTTAAGTGGTGTTTCGTCGTGTGAGGGCATCGTCGTGAACGTTATTGAAAAATCATAACTATTATTACTATGTTTACAAAGGGCCGGATAAATATGGTATACCTTCTACCACACATAAGCCCCATGTAATTAAGTACCGCACATCTGGTCCCAACCCGCAGCTACTGATAATATCGAAATTTACTTATTTCGACGCCATCATAAAAACAATATAACTAAAATCTGAAGTTAGTCTTGAAGCCCCAAGCATAGTGAAGACACTCAAAGCTGCTTAAGTCCCAAAACCTTTAACTCTGTGAACTATACAATAAATTGTCAGCAAAATGTGATTAACTGATTAGCTAAGAGCAGTGCAAGTGTATTTGTGTTTGGGGTACATACCGCAAGCTAATAATCTCATCTTCAGTGCGTCGAATTATCTTCACAGGACCATTGTACTTGGTGATCAGATCAGCGATGTTCAGATCCACATAGGAGCGTATCACCTCCTTCACGAGAAGGGACCAGGAGGGCGGCATCTGGTTCTGGGCGAGAGGCAGCAGATCATCGAAGGTCGCATCCAGGATCTAAAAAAATGGAAAAATGACGTCAGTCGGTTGCTTGTTTCGCTTTTTACATAGACAAGTTATGTGGCTGATGGTCTTAAGCGCCATGGCAATTGTTAATGTATTTCGCAATTGCATCAGTAAATTAATTATACAGTTATACTTTGAATGCGTTCTTTTCATATGTCGCTAAATAAATTGTGCAGTATTTCGCTAGATATATAAAGGTACAAGTTGAGCATAATCAAAATAATAGCTTAGCTTAAATTATTTTTATAGATCAATGTGTGACGCTTAGCATTAAACGAGTAATCTATAATAATATATCATTTTATTATTAAATTTAGCGCAGGTTTTCCGAAAATTCGAAATCTGTGAAAGATATCCTGCCGCAATGGAAGGAACTTACATCTAACATGTACCTTACTTAGTTGACGTACTGCCTAGCCTAGCCCGTAGGCTAGGTCTAGTTTAAATGTTAGTATGTCAACTCTCTTTCAACATCTTTGCGATAAACGCTTTTATAATTTTTTAAATTTATAAATAATCATTATCACTATTAATTTCCATGATTGCTCAGCATCAAAGGTCACTTTATTTTAATCAGTAAGCAGTGCTTAAGGTACTCTTCTGTTCGCTAGCTAAATAGCTAATGAAATTGTTAAGAACATTTTTTATAACGAATCAGAAACAGCAAGAGCGTACAGTTTACAACAGCATCGCCACAAAAAGGTCATTCACGAATTTTAGGTATCATATCTATAGGTACAAAGTACAATGTCTAGCTAGCTTTATTAAATTCAATGTTAAAAAAGTAAAAGTGTACTGACCAAGGCACCGACAGGATAGTTGACAGCAGCCCAGGTAGCGGTGTATCCTCCAATGCTCCAGCCAAACAACACAATATTATCAGGACGAAAACCAAGCTCGTTGATAGCATATTGCATAACAGCGTCCATCGCATTATGCTCCTGAGACGGGTATGGTAGGCCCTGAACCAAGAAACGTAGGTTAGATAATATAATATTGTAGTCACTTTAGTCTAAATTTGAAATGTTACATACACTGCTTCCAGCGAATCCAGGGTGATTCCATCCTAATGCCGAATACCCGCACTTCATGGGCGTGGTCATGATGCCGATCTCATAGAATCCAGAGTTTCCTTCGCAGCACACAACCAGAATCTTACCCTTAAGGGAGCGAGTGCGGTTATCCACAAACATCGTATCGATGGTGTTGCCGTCAGCTGTTCCAATCCGGGCTCGCTTACCATTATGGTTTTCAACGAGCGTAGTCCTGCCTTGTAAGAGGGCGGCCCCTGTAAGAACTAAATTTAACAACGAATCCATTGGACGATATGTCTGAATAAGACACCATAATCATACAATGTCAATATTCAGGCATAGATATTTTTGTGTTGTGGTGCCTCATACCCTGGACATCTTCTCTTCGATGACTTCACGTAGACCACTTCTTCTTCATAATGACAATCAGAACTGGACTTAGAGAATGGCGACCAAAACCTACATTGGGTGTATCGTCAAAATAATGACAAAGAACAGGGTTATGGAGTCTTGATGGAGGTTCTTGAAGAGGATCTGAAGTCCTTTGGCCATTTAATTCTATAAAAACAATGTAATATTATTACGCAGGGGAAGAGGTCAAAATCCCAAAGAATCTGTCTCGATACCATTATCACGCTTCACCAAAAGAAACTTCTTGTGCGTAAAATACTGATCAATTTAGCCATCTTTTGGCTAAAACCTAACACTGATTAGTATCTTGTGAAAATTCCTGTAAAATTAATCCAAAAATCATCTTGTTTTCAAATTTTGCTTTACACATTGTACTGTGGACGGAAGACAGCAGTAGTAAAATACTGATATTCAGCCGAAGCTGGTCATAAATCTGTGGCGACTGAACCTAGAAAGGAAAGATTAAAGACAAACCTGGCAGCTGACAAAAATATCTTTTCCTGAATGCTGTTCTTCCTATGTTTAATACTTACATAGCAAAGAGTTGACAACGGTCAAAGATCCTGGATAAATGAGCCTCAAGCCGAAGGTATGCACAGCGGCGAATGCCAGGATCTGAAGAGGGATGCGCTTGTAGAATCGCAGCTCCGGGTTGGAGCAGTATCGGAAAGGATGATGTTGGTACCATTTCAACCTAAAAATACAATGATGTTACTAAAATGTTCTATAATTTTCATATGGATCGGTTATTGTCAATAACAAAGCTTAGCCTGGTTTAAGGAAAAGGGATTTTTTCCTTAGTTAAAAATAATTACAATAGTTTTTAATACAGTCTTCGTTTATATTAAAATACAAATTCGACTAGTTGGAAACATACCAATTGTTAGCAACATAAAAAGAACTACGATGATAGTCTATCTAAAGTTTAGATGGATTTAGATAGATGAAAAATGGTTTTCAATTCAATACTACTTTAGAGGTTTAGAATCTAAAAATCTCCATTTTATCTTTTGAGACCATGCATTGCAGATGGGAATAAACGTTTGATGTTAGTTACGATCCTCTATAATTGTCTATTTACACCACAAAACAGGAAGTTTATTAATATAAATTATACCATAAATCTTCTTTGTTCATTATGTTGCTATGCCATAAGGATCAGGGTTATAGGTAATTGTTTTTTGTGTACGATTTTCGTTCCAGCAATACGTTGGAAAGAAGTTATAAAGCTTTTGAAAAGAAGCAAAAATATAAATTAAATTAAGGTGAAATAATGTGACGTTATTGTTAAAAATATTACATTAATCTTATAGTATTATATAAAGCTGAAGTGTTTGTTTGTTTGATCGCGCTAATCTCAAGGACTACTGGTCTGATTCAAAAAATATTTTTGTTGGATAGTGCAATTCTATGAAGGCTATAAGTTATAAAACATCACTCCTCAATAGATGCAGAGCAGAGCAGGTGAATCCGCGCGAAAGTAACTAGTTTGTTATTGAGATTAGTTAATGTTTTAAAACATAAAGAAACTCAATAAATGACTATGTTAGAGTTTATAATTATGTACATTTTTAGGGCAGGTACTTACCCTTCATCAATTGGATCCATTCTTATAATAGGATCACTTGTACTACTGAAAATAATTGAACAAATTTAAATAAATATAATACGCTAATAAAGCTGTAAATTCGAAATAAAATAAGATTATACAAGCATGCATAGCAAATTAATATGGATACATTATAATATTTTGCAATTTGCTGCCTGTTCTACATACATACTAATATATATAGCATACTATACATATAATTATATAATTAAAGCACTATTAAATACATAGAGTAAATTCAAGAAATCTTTTGATAGTCATCCACGCTAACTGTCACCGGTAATTGAGCCTTTTTTTAATTTAACCAATTATAGAAAACAGTTATAAGTTTAATAATAACACTCAATGTTTTGTGGTTTAGGTACAAATCTAAATAACTTGTTATAATATTAAAAAAAGCACAAAACGATTTTTCCCATCACCATGCTCTTTAAGTATCCTACAACCAAATTATTAGTTTAAAATAAATAATTAATTCTTTATCACTCCTGTGGAGATGTCTAAAAAGCCAAATAGCTTTAGTTACATAGTGTGTGTTGGTGAAATCTTTTAAAGCACCCTCACGTTCCGGGTGCCCGTTACCGGGTAGCTGGCACTAACTCTTTCAGGAAATAGAAAGTCATGTGCAGTAAACACTGATACTTAATCATAATATAGTATTAACCTTTAACGAAACTGAAATTGTTTAAAATAACAAACAACCCACACACTGCAACCACAACTTAAGCGCATAGTAAGTCTTCTGAAGGCTTAGTACTACATTCTCATACGTTCAAAGACATCGAAATTCGCGTTTGAGTCTCTGATTGGCCGGCTCCAACCACCAACAAGCCAACCAATCAGAATTCCGACCGCGATCTCTTTTTGTCTCGTTAAACGTACCAGATGGCACTTACTAAACGCTCAGGCCATTTCAAAAACATCACACTTACCCATCTTTGCTTGCCACACTGAAAGTTACAGGCCAGGCTTTAATATCAAAATCGTACTTCCGCAGGTCAGTCAAATAACCTTGTTTATCAGTCATCTTGTTGGTTATTGTGTTCACAAACTGCATATACTTGGGGTTAAGAGACCTTCCATATGCTCGGATTAGGAAGGAAAACGCGATCAGACAAGAAAGGCCACCAAAGAGCCGGCCCATTGACTTCACCTCGTCGAACGACATGTAACCTCGCTTGTAAATATAGAAGCAAATAAACGGCGAGGTGTATAAACTAATGTTCAGTAGCGCATGAGCCTAAAACAAAACATATTTGTTTTCATTCTTCTAGGTATTAAAATGATTTCTTAAATAATAATAATAATAAGAACAACAACTTACTGTTATGATGATCTTATCGCCCCATTTCTCGTATCCCACGGGCTGGTACACCGACTGAAAAACAACAATATTGTCAATTATATAAAAATCTAGAAAAGTAAATTCAGCTAAGTAATTGTTTATACCGCACGTAGTTACCCACCCACGCATACTGAGAGTGGGTGAAAGAGGTAGTTGACAACAAGATGCTTTGACATTTTCATCTTATTGATTTCCACGCCCACATCTAATATCTCAGTAGATGTAGGAGAATAATAACAACTATAATTAGCTGATTGTAACTGATACCATTATATTGAGTCTTCTACTAATTAGGGCCTATCAATTTCACATTGCTATTATTAAGATTTTATAAATAGCAAAAATTATCTGTTAATATTTTGTCCAACATTGATGGCACAGGGAGTTGTAATGTTTTCAAAATTTGTTTAATGAACTCTGAAAAGATTACATACTTTGTTGAAATATCATTTGTTTCAAAAATTATGGAGGGTGTATCTTCTCAATATTCCAACTAGAATGAGACTGTACTCCATAAATAACTGCCAAAGATCACAATATTTTGATGATACAAGCCTGAGTTACGAGTGTGTCTGTCGTTCGAGATAGTCAGATAATTCTGAACTTTTTTTGACATTGATGCCATGGTTCACGGTTCAATGGTTATCTAGAATCTAGACTCTATTTAGAGCTAATAGGAATACTTAACTAAAATCTAAGATTTCTTTAAGACGTCTAAGATGTCTCTGATACCTTTTAAACTGAGATCTTAGCGCCAACACTGCAGATTATGACTAACACTCTTTTGTATAGGAGTTAAAATATCTAGCAGACGATTGTCATGAGCTGGTGATGCCAATTATACTAGAAACTAGTAGTAATCTCTTTATTTGTGGTATACCAAAACAAAATGTGGATCTACGTGAGACACATTGTATTTTCTATTGTGTCTTAAATACTTGCAGCCAAGAGATTAATGCAAAGAAGGAAATTATTAAAATTCTATTCCAATCTCTAATAAAGCACAATATCTTCATATAGCTCCTAAATGGAACCACGCTTCTAAAGTTCAGCTGTTTTTTTAGGGTTTTGAGTATATCATCAATACATAGTATAAAACAAAGTCGCTTTCGCTGTATGTCCGTATGTATGCTTAGATCTTTAAAACTACGCAACGGATTTTGATGCGGTTTTTTTTTAATAGATAGAGTGATTCTTAAGGAAGGTTTCTATGTATAATACATGCATATTGCACCCGTGTGAAGCCGGGGCGGGTCGCTAGTATTGTATATACAAGAATTGCTCATTTTAATATTTGAATACCTTCAAACGAACAACAATATGTATCAACAACCTCAAAATGGCTTTAACGATTTTTTTGAAATTATCTGTTTACGGGGTTTCGGGGCGATAAATAGATCTACTTTCTGAAAATGTTGGTAACTATAAAAATGCAGGACATCTAGGTATTTACTGGTATAATTCTCAAATGGAGGGAAGTATACTTTTTTTAAATGTAGTTTTATTATTTTAATTTTTTTTAAGTTGTTTTATTTTTTACAGGTGGGATTGTAAGCACTTCGTAGACAGTTTTAGTATCATGACTAATTATGAGTTTATTAACCCGTTGAAATCCACCCCCTAAATTTGGTCATACAAAAGTAGTCTCTAAAAATTACAAATAAGGTCTATAATGTAATGTAATATTAGTGGAAAGCGGTCACCGGTGACCGCTTGGTGATTTATGGGTTAAATGAGTAGGTACATTTTACCTACAGGGGTCAGTGCCGATATGGTTTTACGAACTGTATGCATGCACATTTTTCCATGTTAAAGTTAGCTTATGAACACAGAACTGTCAAAAAGCTTATGCATGGGGTAGGCCCATTGGAACAATAGTGAAGACCCGTTACCAAAATGAAGGTAAAGGAAAATTTTACATGAATTGCGTTTGTTTAGTATAATAATGTTACATTTGCATAATTTATAACAATGAATTCTATATATGATACATGCTCTACCGAACAACATATTTTCATATGTTAGAATTAAGATGGGAGGCTCCACTTGAACTGTTCAAGGAGGGAAATAATATCATAAATGTTTTGATTTTTAAAATTATTGCGTATTTCGATCTTTTACACTTTTATGTTCAGAAGAAGTCACATGGATGTAAAAATAAAATTATTATAATTATAATAAAACTTACATCTTTCGGCCCATCCCGGTACACCTTATACAGGCGCGGTGAAAACAAACATTGCCAAATTTGTTTCATGGTGAAAATGTTCCTGTAAAATGATTTCAAATAGAATCATTAGACTTATCAGAAAAATACCGTAACAAAACGTTTTTTTAGCACTACAATTATTAATTTACTGAGTAGTATCACGATGAAAAAAGAACGTAGTTTCGACGAAAATCTAAGAAAACAATAGTATTTATTACTTACTTGTATTTTTATTATAATTTTAAGATAATTTAACGTGTAGTTATTAATTTATCAGTGAAATAGCATTAGGCCGAATCGTTCTCACAACACGACCATAAACTGACCGAATAGGTACCGAAAATCAATATTCCTCATTTCATCTATTTCATAGGCAAGTATTTTTTTTTATCAAATGGGGTATGAGTATTTTTGCTCAATTTCTATTCGTGTCATCCACGTCTCATCTAATGGAGTGACAAGACAGAGCGGTATTATACGGCAAACATGAAAGTGCCCCTGGCACCAGCACCAGGTTGTAGACGGGCGCCATGAGCCGCGGGAACTCATCAGTCCATAGGAGTAGACAAAAATAAGGGTGCCCATAAGGCACTCTCTAGGTTTAATCCGCCTTTGGATTAGCCTAGCTCGAATAATTACACTGTTAATTAATATACCAAGTTGAATATAGCAAACTAGGTCAGAATTAGTGCAAAATACTCGTTGGCCAAGTGGTCGCAAGTGCGACCTCTTGGCGCACGTCGGACCACGTCCGAATCCCAGGTCGGGTAAAGGACTAAGTATTACTGAGATTAAAAAAAAGGTTTTTTTTCAACACGTTTTTATTTTACTGGGTTTAAAAAAATCTAAACTGTGTTTTATAAAAAATCTCAGTAGTAGCACAGAGTCTGGAATTGTGTCCGGTATATGGCAATAGGCTCACCTCATATTACATAGGACTTTTAGTATAGGTACATAGTGAAAAGTTGGGGTTACAATGTACAGTGGCATTAAGTGCCGTAATGTGCACCTCTGCCTACTCCTTCGGGGATAAAAGGCGTGATGATATCTTGTGTTATGATATTAAAGAGATAGATATTATTAAACATTACATTGTTTAACATGTGTTAATGCTGAGATTTATAAAAACCCAGTAATACTTTGCCCGACCCGGGAATCGAGTCCTTTGCCCAGTCGCACTTGCGACCACTCGGCCAACGAGGCAGTCTTAAAACTGCACTGTTAAACTTTTTTTATTGTTTATCCTATCCCAAGATTATAGTGTGAAAAATGTGGAATAATCTCTGTTACAGATGTCACTAAAATAAAGTTCTGAATTTGAATGAAGTTTAGTTAACTATTATCGTCGGTGCGCTTGCCAAAACTGTTATGTGCATTTAGTCAAGTTTTCAGGAGGAGCCAATAAACTATTTTTTACACTTGCACTGAAAAGTTGATGGACTTAGCAATAAATTAAAAATGCAGTATGATGGCAAAAATTATGATAAAAATAACTGAGATAAAAGTGAAAATGATAACATGTACTGTTCATCCCCAATAATTTTATTTTCCCATTTTGGTGCACATATTAGATTTATCTTAGAAAACGGTAAAAATTTTAAACAAAAACTGTTGATATTCAATCTGCCAAACTATGTGATGCTGCAACTTCTGACATGTGCGTTTTATGTCACACTAGCGACCCGCCCCGGCTTCGCACGGGTGCAATATGCATGTATTATACATATAAACCTTCCTTAAGAATCACTCTATCTATTAAAAAAAACCGCATCAAAATCCGTTGCGTAGTCTTAGATCTAAGCATACATACGGACATACAGCGAAAGCGACTTTGTTTTATACTATGTATTGATAACTGTAACCAAATCCCCTATACTTATTCTACTACTTACTCTTTGAACCAATCGAACACATAACCAATTTGTCATGGCCAGAAAGTGCACATATAAGTTTGGTCTAATCGGTTTCTAGAGGAATATAACACATATTTGTTTTTGTAATCGATGCGCTATCCGATTTGAAGGACATATAGCTAAGAAAAAAAAACTAAATATTTGCACATATCAGTTTTGGCAGGCGCAACGACGTTATGTTACTTACTTCGACTAGGTTCAGGCCATGCTAGAGGCTTATATTCATGAGCAGAATTCCGCGATCCACGATGTTGATCAGTTACGTGGTAAACCGAAAATGTAATAATTAATTTAATATTTCTGCATTCAGTGTTGAAACTCTAACCAGGGGCGTAGCTAGCGCCGTATCTGCCGTATCATAATTAAACGGGGCCCCTGTATAATTTATTTCTGCTTAAAGCATGCAGAGCATAAAAAACTAAAGGTCTAAAGTCATCATAATCCGGTAATAATTTGAGCAGAAATATGGAGGTTGCCTGGAAAGATTTCAGGGAGTGTTGAAAATTAGTAATTTTATAGATTTTGATGTAATCTGTCTTAATTCATCTTGGAAAATTGGTGGCCTTTTACAATATTTTTCTCCTGTGCATTTCATGAGAAAAACTTTACCTATAAATAATTGAGGATGATTTCCCATAAATAACAAAAAATTGTTTGGGGACCCGCAATTTTGTTTTTACGACGCCCCGCCAACGCTCTCTAAGCCACTGATTCTGACATTGTGTTTGTGCGGTTTGGCGTGATAATTTTTTCTGTTGCTGTTGTTGTAATATGTACCATAAGTAGCCTAATGACAAAAAACGTTGCATAAACTACCATATAACAGGTAGGCAAGCGATGACCAAACAAGAATTTAATAAGGTTTTTTATACCTTGACAACAACAGAGATCATTTTAAATTCTACGGAATGCCTCTTCTTGTCTATGGTCACAATTGTAACTTTTTGTATATTTTATACAGGTAATTAAGAATTTATTATCTGCGTAGTCAGTGATTCTGTGATCAGTCTATTTTTTTGTTAGTCTATGTTTATCTCCGTCACCGACTGTGGGAATGTTTTTGTGAAGAATTGGTATTTTCAACAGTAAAGAAATAAAAGATATTAGAACAGATTTAATGTAATCGTCATGAAACATGATTTATTTAGTGAATAAAGTTGTATTGTGCATCTTGGTGGTAGCTGCAACGGTGTCCTGCAGAATACATAAACTGCATCTTTCGGTAAGCTTAGTGACTTAAAAACTATAGGCAAATTACCAAAGTTAGAGTACAAACGGTTCATGGAAACCATATGGTCATGAAATAAACTTCATTTAGTGGTTGTCAAGTGTTAGGATTTAAACTATATAAACATTGGAAGCTCTGTAACCACTCGCACAAACCACTGTTTGAATCCTAACAGGATTTGTGTACATGTACTATAAACTCAAAATTTTTTTTACTAATTGTCGACATCCTTCTTGAGATAGGAAAATTAACTTTAATTATTTGGTTTTACTTTACTCAAAATATGTAACTAGGTAAATAAATATATTTATTAATATAAGTCTATTTGAACAGCTAAATTCTATTGATAAGCATGTAAATTTATTGCTTAAGGATCACACTATCTAAAACAGTGAATTTGAGTGAAGGAATTCTTTGTCTTATCTCTGTGGGGAATTAAGATGTATTTACTGAAACAGTATCAATGTGTTAATTATTATTTACAACCCAGGAAATGTTACACATTTTTCCATTCTGTATGTTATTATAAAGTAAAAAATTCTAGTTTGGATTTTTTGTATAAAAAGTGTATTGATAAACTTCAATGAAAATAAGTTTGATGCGGAACAGTGTGTTAAATTATTTACACAGTGGTTCTACAGGTACTTGAAATCATTTTGGTTTATCCTTATTTTAAACTGTCAAATACCAAGCGGTCACCGGTGACCGCAACCTATTGTTCTATAATTGTGTCTTTAATTTCGGTACTCGACGAGTTAAACTGTCAAACACCAAGCGGTCACCAGTGACCGCAACCTATTGTTCTATAATTGTGTCTATAATGACGGTACTCAACAAGTTAAAACTGTATCATGGTCAGTTTTAACTAAAATAACTAACAAAGTAATATGTATTATTTGACATAATTATTTTTATATTAATACAGTAAATTCCTTGTACCCTCGCTCTAATGTTATCTATCTCATTAACAGTAAATCTGTTTAAATCTGAAATTAAACACCAAATATTCTGCATTGTGAATTGTGCAACCATAATCCAAAATCTTAGGAATAAGAATTTTTATGTTTTAATTAGTTATATTATTTATGAGCAGTTTGGAATCTTGAAGTTTAGTGCTGTTCAACTTCTTTGTGTAAACCACAAAAAGTAGGTAATTGAAAAAAGAACAATGGTTTTGACAAAATAATATGCATTCCAAGAAGTTGCTCCTGTTGAAAATTAACTCGTTGATTACCGTCATTATAGACACAATTAAAGAACAATAGGTTGCGGTCACCGGTGACCACTCAGTGTTTGACAGTTTAAAATACAAACTTAAGTAAAATAAATACTAACTATTACTAAATATGTACAACTTAACTAACTAATGTAATGGTTCTATGAATGTAAACTCTGATGTCAGTCAATATACTTAAGCCCATTTACTAGATAGTAGATTTGTTTACTAGAGATAGGATTGAATCCACAGGTGGATTGCTTGTATGTAGTAAATTACTAAATAAAAGTATTCTGATTGATTTCGATCCAGGTGGTGGCTAGTCTATCTAACTAGGATCTAATCAAGTTACTAGACTAACCTAATAAGCTGGAGATATTATACCACACAATTATGTGTGTGCGTAAATATAGGTGATCTATATTCATTCACTTACAATCATACAAACTGACATATACTTCACATCTAGACCCAAAACAAGTTGTGGGGTCTCACAAATTGCACAAAGAGTTATTGCGTGTGAGAATAGAGCATTGTGCCAACTGAGCATTCAAATTGGTTTCCATAACTAATGACTATATTAACATCATTATTTACTGATTGGATTCAAAGTTATAATAGTTACACTATAGTTAATTAAGTCAAGCAATGTTATAATTAGGTTAGTAACCATTTAAAAATGAAATTCGGCATTTTCTCTGGTACAACTATAGTTTTAATAAGACCCATTAGCATTGAACTGGAAATCATTAAAATACACAACAATAGTAATTATTTTGACTACATGGTTGGTGCGGTGGTTAGGCAACCGGCTGCCGGGCAATATGGGGCAAGTTCGATTCTCGCACAGAGCAACTCTTTGTGTTTCTCGCACAGAGCAACTCTTTGTGTGATCTACATAATTATTGTTACGCGTCTGGGTGTCATGTGTGTGTGAACTTGTATGTTTGTAAACGCATCGATGCTACAGAAGAAAATTCTAGTGTGAGGAGACGAGTTAGAAAAAAAAATAATTTAATCTGCCTATACTTTATGTTTTAAGAGAATAAGAACTACGTTTATTTTGGTTTGTTTCTCTCTCCTAACTGATTAAAGTTCAGGTTGAAGAATTTAAAATAGAGATTATTGTAACTACTTTAGTTTTTACCCACCTAGGGTTAGGTTTAGATGTCCTAATCTTATACCAACCTATCTTATACTTATTTACTTACTTACTTATCTTATATTACTTTATTACTATTATATTAAGCTGAAAAGTCTCTTTGTTTGAATGCGCGCTTAGGTAATACTGAATCAATTTGAAAAAATACTCTTGTGTTAAATAAACTATTAATTGATGAAGGCTCACATAAACATCACACTCCGTTTGGCACCAAGCAAAGCAGGTGAAATTTTATAATTACTTATAATCTATATTATGAAAGTCTTCTGTTGAGACACTGCCAGACTGAAACAATGGGACGGTTGTAAAGGGAATTACCTAGTTGTGATTAATAGAAATCTGGTATATAGTGTTTTACTTTTAATGAAAAAGGTATCTAAAAATGAAAGTGTTGTAGAAACAACATTGTTTTATTCACGGACCGAAGTCACCTCATTAGTCAGACAGACTATATGCTTCATTAGACAGAGACAAATGTGATTAACTTCAAATAGTTACCAAAAGTTACAGTTCCCGGGGACTAATTATTTAAAATTGCAATTTATTTAAAGCTAGGCAAAAACCTCGACCTCCACCGGAGTGATACCACGGCTTCACACAAAACGAGACGTAGGCCCTCACATTCCTTATATTTCTAAACCCCAAAAGGCTGGTAACGCACTTGTAGCGCTTCTGTTGTTCCAGGTGTCCATAAGCGACGCCGATTGCTTACCATCGGCTGATCCGTCTACTCGTTTACCGGCTTAACCCATAAAAAACATTGTTCTCCTTTCTTTAAGTTAAGTTATGACGTAAAATGAACTGACTGCCTCGTTAGCCGAGTGGTCGCAAGTGCGACTGCGGGCAAGGGGTCTCGGGTTCGATTCCCAGGTCGGGCAAAGTATTACGGGGTTTTAAATAATCTCAGTAGTAGCACGAAGTCTGGAATTGTGCCCGGTATATGGCAATAGGCTCACCCCTATTACATGGGACTCATAACATAAATAGTGAAAAGTGGGTGTTACTTCTATGTGCACCTCTGCCTACACCTTTGGGGATAAAAGGCGTGATGTTATGTAAAATGAACGTCTGGAACCGTCTCCCAAATTACGTCAAAGTAAGCAGTGCTATTCAGCTGGCATTCAGAAAACCGACAAATATAACAAACACTTGTAGTGCTTCCTTCGTTACAGTGGGCTGTTTGAATGGATTATGTACACAACTGTGTTTCTTTGCCCTTGGTCTATTGTACAGAACTCTTCCGGGCTTCGCATGAACAGAAAATTACCTTTTTCCTAACAATTATTCATGTTATACTATTTAAAGTACTTTGCATTAAAACAATAAACTTCGCGTGCTCAATCTTTCAGACGCTTATATTAGACTTAACAGGAATGCGAAAATTAGTTAGAATCACGACATAACTTATTATGTACCTATATCATTACTATGCCGTGTAGAGCAGACAGTTTGACTGTATAGTTTTAACTAAAGGTGTGTAGGATGTATGTACCAACGACTGTAACTGTACAGTTAACTATGCAGTTTTAACTGTACAGTTCCCCTGTACAGTTTAAAACTGCACAGTTCACTCGTAAGGTGTGTAGCGTGCATTAGATAGATCACTGGATAACCCCTCTGGTGCCTTAGGTTTAATTGTTCTAAAATTGAAAGTTGACAATCCCTATCCGAGATAACCTATAACCTATATGTCTGTCTAAAATAAGCTACTAAATAAGAGTTGGGTTATTTATATTTTGCACAGTACAAAAAATATATGAAAAATATTAAACAATCATGTACACAAGTACCTACTGCTTATCGTTAAAAGGGATCGCATACAGAAGTTCTGCATTGTTGTTCCAGCGAATATTTTAGTGTGTCTCTGATTCTACCTATTTCCTCAAGAGAAAAATGTTCGTCATTAATAGTTAATTACCGATTGTTGTTTAAGTACCTGGATGACCGAGCTTTGTCCAGTATTTTTTTAGTACATCAATTTCTGAAAATGTAACCTAACTAGATCGATTTATCGCCCCGACACTCCTTGATTACAAAAGTTCAAGAAAATCGACGGAGCTGTTTCATTGCAATACATACATACAAGAATTGCTCGTTTAAACGTAGATACTAGAGTCATTTATTTATCAAGTATATCACACCAAGTTTCCAACTTAAAGCAGAAGGAATTATGTACATAATATATTATTATAAGATTACAATATATAATATAAGTTTCAAAATCCAAAAATATGTTATAGTTAAAACATGTTATGTACCTCCCCATGTAATACCGATGGATTTTAACGTGTACAATTACAGATAACCGTGTCGCTACAAAATCAATTATGCTGTAACAATAACTATTCGCCCGTATGTTTACGTTTCGAGTTTTTGTAAAACTAGTACATTAATAATGATTTATGAATAGGTTTACATGGAAAACCCTTTGAAAGCAATATGTACTCGAAATAAAAAATATGTATTTAAAAAATATGTAAACGAGTACATATTGCTTGTTCCTTACTACTTCCGCGCGGTTTCACTCGGCGCCTATTAATCGTAGCGTAATATTTTATAGCCTATAACCTTCCTCGATAAATGGGCTATCCAACACAGAAAGAATTTTTCAAATCGAACCCGTAGTTTTGGAGATTAGCACGTTCAAACAAATAAACAAACTCTTTAGCTTCCTAATATTAGCATAGATAACTATGACAGTACTTGAATAAAAAAAATAGTCACTTAGGTATTTTATTCTCCTTAGCTAGGGATGTTTTACTTTCTCTTATAGAGGAGAGAATAATCTATGGGGATAAGTTGTCATGTCAAGTCATTGTCAGCATATCCATGTTATTATACAAATACCATACCAGCACTAATTTATTTCCAAAAACTTAATACCTATTCACCATATTGTAAACTTATATGTAGAAGAACCATACGTAGGAGCCGGAGTTACCACGGCCTCACAAAAAACGCTGTGAATCAAGGCTTGCGTTGTGTTTCGTCACGAGTGTGAGTGAAGTTACGGGAGGTCCAAACCCATTCATGGAGAAACTCCTTTGGCATTGGGGGTAATCACGTGCGATCCGTCTGCTCGTACCCCATCTCATTGGAAAATAGTTGTTTTTTGTGCATTAAACTTCAATTACAGCCGTGAAATTTTTTATGAGTGCTGCTGTTTTCTTTTTTTTTTTGTTTTATGCGAATTGTAAAACGCCATAAAGTTTGCAACTTGTACCCATATATATTGATCGACAATGCTCATGCGACTGTTCTCTGTGTTTGCGAACTAAACTCGTTCTTTTTCCTGTTGTGCGTAATGCTAACGGTAGGTCAGATAAGAAAATACTCATCGTGTTAGTCTTTTTGGAGGAAAATGTCGCATTTTCTAATGTAGTTAAATGTTGTGGATATTAACGGGATTGAATTCCTGGGCTAATCGAAAAGCTAATGCGTCTTTCGAAATAAATGCGTTTATAATAAATAGTAGTAAAGTTTCAGGAGGCCAATAAGTCCGACAGTGTGTCTAACCACGAATCAATGTGTATCACTCTTAGTGGGTTGTGGTTATATGACCCTCACTCCATATCAGTAAATCTACCTAATAGGGTCGTTTTACTAATATAAATTTTATTTTAATGCCCGTCTGGTACATTAATTTAAAACTTTAGACACTATTTTTTCATTTCTCCCAAAATTAAATACTTTGGCCGATATATTAATTTGAAATATCGTGTAACGTCACAGCGTGTCACATTTTGTAGCACGTTATGACGTAACGACCTCCCACTCCTAAACTTAGCGCCATTTTATGTAAGTATTGCAACTTAACTCGTCGAGTACCGGTTTTGTAGCAACAGATGCTAAAATTGTTTTCATGATTATGTAAGTTATATCATAGACATTATGTAAAACAAATTATAGAACAATAGGTTGCGGTCACCGGTGACCAGTTTAAACTGTCAAACACCAAGTCAATATGATAATTGTGTCTACAAAACCGGTACTCGACGAGTTAATACGAGAAAATAAAAAATACGTGTCTAATATTTTTTCATTATTTAACTGACGGACTAATTAGATTTTTTAATTTTGATACCCTTGAAACTACCCAATTATACAGTTACATATGTCTAACTAAGGTAGATAGATATACAGTTATTATTTAATATTATTGATGTTAAATGAAGATTTTACAATTATTGTAGAACAATTTAGGTACATAGATGACACAGTTAAGCAATTATGGCGGTTATTTCTATACTTTTCGGCTTTATTTTTGTAGTTCGTAGCTCATAATGATAACATCGGTAGGGCGTAGGGTTACTGATGTACGTGTGATAACAACGTTCTCGTTGAAGTTCCGTCTTATTAGAATAAAATAGGTAAATATCACAACAATGCCTAGGCTTTAAGGCTCTTTTTGCTTTGTGTAAGTGCATAAATGAAATGTTAATAGAAACTACTTTTCGTCAGTCATTTTATGAGGCCTATGTAATAGGTAGTGAGCGACTCTATTGCCACGACAAATCTAATGAGAGATTAAAACCGCTCGCGCAATTACTGAATCGAAAACTAAAAATAACACAATAATACTTTTGCCTGATCTGGGAGTAGCGATTGAGATGCTTATACCTAATATTCATGTTAAAGATAGGTCTGCATACGTATTGTAATCTCCTGAAATGATCTTTTAGAATATGAGAGCCACAACTGTTGATACCAAGAATTAGAACCCCGATTAAAAAATATTACAATTGACGTAAAACGTACCTACCTACCTCTATCTGGACGAAGGTGGTATACTTGTATTTATTAAAATATTATTCCTATTTTGATTTTTAATGTATTGTACATAAGTGTCGCTTTGCTGTTTCTGTTTCACGAGTTGTGTTGTGCGATGAGCATTACTTTGCATCTTTATCAGCTTCGTGCTATTTTCGTACATCTCGCTCTGCGAACATCTTTGTCATTTATATTCGAATGTATTATTCACTCAAATACTCATTGTATCATATTAGAGTGATTTAACAATAATACAACCATTGTGCGTAAATACAATGAGCTGGAAAAAGCTTATAGCTCCATTTTTATCATTAATGTTATACATAAATACATATTTAAAATGTGATTACTGTGGTATAAGATAAGGCTAACGTAGATTTGAAACACTGATTAAATATTGAGCGTTGGCGTATACAATTTATTATAGTTAATACATTTGTTTGATGTTCCTGGGCAAATGTGCTTAGTTACAATAACATTTTTAAGCTTGCCAATACATAGGTGCCATATTATGTAAAATGTTCGCTCGAGCGAAGAGATCTATAGGATGATTGCCGAACTACGATTGACGTTCTCATGGGCATTGAATGCAAATGTCTTGCGAAGTGTAATAACTAAATATGTAATATTTATAAGTAAACTGTCACCTAGCCAGATCTTAGTGCTCTCTTTTTTTATTGAAGAACTCTATTTTATCGAATTTCTGTTTTATGTCTATTTGGTTGCGATTCCAAATATTGAGTAACAGATTCTATCGATGTTTACATTGTGCACCTTAATTTTTACCATTTTAATGTATTCCAACTCTGCTCTAAGCAGAATCCGAAACACGGGCAAAATGTGCCTTCAAATGATAAATGGCGTAACTTATCGGTTCTCAATCAAAAAGTTTTTGTCCTATCTAATATCTTTAATCCACATTAATAAAACTTTTTCTCCAACGATAATTTATTTCTGAACTTCTTTGAGAAAGTAACAGATATGAAAAATATAATTATGTAACATAATTTTCCAGGACGATGAGCGTCGCTACGTGGATCTCACGACCTTCGGGTTCTTCAAGGGCGGTGTACTCGACGTCAAGTTGGTGGATTTCATGATGCCGTCAGGTCCTGTTTATGGAGAGGTAAGATAATTGTAATAATGTCAAGTATACAGGTCATAACATAATACTTTTTATCAACAAACGTAAACTGTATCGTAGTAACTTAAATGTGTAAAAACTATGCTTCGACAAGAATCGGCTGGCAAGAGATAAGTACATAATATGGCCTCAAAGAAATCTGTCGTGAAACACAGCATGCATTGTGTTTGACTTTACCAAAAACTCAATTTTCTCTTTCAATCTAAAGAACACAAACAAAACACTTGTAATTTCTTAAAATAAAATAAGTAATGGAAATGTTACGCAAAACATTTCTACGAACTTCGCTCGTCTCGATCGATTCTTAAAGTAATAATAAGTAATAAGGTGACCGTATAATAATCGGGTACTATCATATCTATTACGAACTGCTGGGTCATATTGATCAGTAATGCAGCGATCGATGCAATCATTCGTAACAAAATTGACAGTACCTATTTGATCTGAGCTTATTGTCTGTATCGATTATTATTGAACTTTTTATGCAGTTGTTGTTATTCTTGCAAAGATCAACGACCGACATCTTTTTCCCTGTGTTGGTGCATATACGGACTATTCCCATATTCGCAATAATTTGTCGACCTTACAAAGAAATGTTCCATACTGGATTTCGGCGCAGCAGCTGTTCACCCAGTCACATCTGCTGATGTCAAGGCTTATTTGATTATTAGCTTCCAAACGTAACCTCGCTCGCGTGTTTTTAATTATAAACATTTGCTTAATTCACCCTCAACTTTCTCCAAACTCAAAAATGCGGAAATGCAATATGCATTGGTTAAACCGATAAAAAGCAAGTGTGGGAGAGCCATGCTTCGGCACGAATGGGCCGGTTCGACCGGAGTGATACCACGGCCTCACAGAAAACCGACGTGAAGCAACGCTAGCGTTGTGTTTCGTCGTGTGAGTGAGGTTACCGGAGGCCCAATTACCCTCCCCTACCCAATCCGCGGTCCCCAACGATCCTCAAACTCCTAATCCCCAAAATACCGGTAACGCACTTGTAACGCCTTTGGTGTTCCAGGTGTCCATGAGTGACGCCGATTGCTTATCATCAGGTGATCCGACTGCTTGTTAACATTTCTGATCTTCCGTAATAGAAACTCCAACTTCGCATTTACGTATTCTAGCTCAGAAAAAAGAAATATGTATCGCATTAAACAATAGCGCTAGTACACCTTTGTTATGCTGCCAATCATTCTAATATCTATTTATTCATCGATTCGTCCTATTTACTTAGATGGGAACAAACCTTCTTGTGTCAGGTTATTGACATGGCCATTCATGCCAGGTTATTGATACAAGTGGATACAACTGTGTACATAATATAATATACGTATTTATAGGTATAAGTATCGTGAATGAGTGTTTTAGAAGTAGGGAGGTATTATTCTAATGTATTGCTTTATTGCATGTGGTTTTAATACTTGAAATTGGCACTAGTGCCACCACCAAGTTTCAATTCAGGCCATTTGCGATCCTCCTATAACGTCGATGTAGGTAAAACTAGTATCAGAATTTTCTGGACTCAAGAAGGCATTGTATAAACACGGTATATTTCGAATTACATTAAATTCGGAAACAGAAGTTTATGAAATTATAAGTAGGTACCTATTTTTTAGAATTACGAAATCAATGCCACAATAAAAACTGGTACAGACTGTCAATTTGAATAATTAGATTCTATTCAAATTATGCTCCCGCTAGCTGGATACGCCTGTTCTATTTCTGACTGATATTTTTGAATATTATAATTGATTATGCATAACATACAAAGAACAAGTTATTAAACAAACACCACATTTATAGGTATGTATGAGATTTATATCTCTCGACCAATTTCGATCATGATGGCAAGTCTAATTAGACTGACCCGAAGGAGACATTATAGTGCAAACGTGGGTGTGCAAACACAAGTACTGTACCTTCACTTTCTGAACTCGATAGGACTGCAGATTGACATGACCGGAGAGAGATCAGGCGCAGGACCAACGATTTAACGTGCTTTCCGAGGTATAGAGTGAAACACCGCTTAACTTCCTGAATCCGGGCTAATAATGGTAATTTTACTTAAAAAATGCCATTCGGTTCACTTTTTAGTCGACGCGGGAATCGAACCCACTATACATTGCATAGCAGCCGGTTATCCAATCACTGCTCGAAGTTTGCATTCAGTAATAGCTTATTAGACTAACATGACTCTGTTTTTGATTACAGTACGGGTTCACGTTAGACCGGACGATAAATGCAGCAATAAGTCCGTACCTAGCGCAGTCTACCTCCGCAACATGTTACCTCAAGGAGACCGACACCAACATACTGTCGCCGCAGCACCCTGCGATCGTCTTTCTGAAGATGGACTTCAAGAATCTCAGGTCTGTATATCAGTAGCTGTGTGTGCTGTGTTACAGCAAAGCAGAACATATTTCTCTCTATATTGTTGAGGGCGTTCAAAAGGTTAACAGCAGATTAACGGATGGCACATTTATCAGTAGCGCTCTATGCTAAATCTGAGGCCTTAGTACGAGTTTTATTTTCGTTCAAAGTAATCGTAACGAGTACCCGTTCGGCGCTGTGATTGGCCGGCTCTAATGAACCAACCAATCAGAGGCCTTAGTACGAGTTTGATTTACGTTTAAACTATTCGAAACGGGTATGCGTTCGGCGCTCTGATTGGCCGGCGCCAATGAAGCAACCAATCACAGCGCCGAATGCGTACTCGTTACGATTATTTTAAACGTAAAACAAACCCGTACTAAGGCCTCTGAGCCTAGAACGCCGTCTCGTTTCAATAAGTAATTGAACGAAAAAGAAACTCGTAATAAGAACTTCCTCTGCCTCTGAACTTTTAAACTGCGATCTCCAACCCGCTTGCCAAACATGAAGATAGTAAATCATTCTCATGTAAAGCAGACATTGACATCGAAAATTTTAAAGACGCCTCTCACTTCTTAGTTCTTCATTTCAGCCCGACTTCACCCTCTTCTGGGTACCCATAGGCATATAGACATCCCTTTTTCTGCCATACTCCTTTATTCTGTTCATCCTTCTCTCATCTGCACACTCAACGCGTTTTTGGACAACGTTGGTTCATTATTTTGTTCCTTGGTATAACTAGTCGCTAATGTCCGATATACTTGGTCCATATTATGTGATATTATTTTGTTGTTTTTCATACGAAATCGGGGCTTTTGTTCGAAATAGAAGATTGTATGAATGATAGCGTATTGATACAGTTATATTTCTATATTATATGGCCTTTGTCTGGTCAGCGATATGATCAGGTATCTTTATTGATTCGTCAATTTCCTGAGTTTGATAGGAGTCAGTTTAGACATATATAATGTTATTCTTATTTCTCAGATATTTTAACAAATTCTTGTTATTTTTCTTAATTATTCAATCACTGTGGTTTACTACTCTTTTCGCCATGATTGTATTCGTTAATTGCTCAGTAACGTGTGTAGTAGTGTACTATTGAAGACACTTAACTAAAAGTTACTTTGTGTGATGTAGCACCTAAACCAACCCCTTACTTGTACTGCTAGGTGTCAATAATAAGTTGGTGAAAACCCAGATATTGCTAAATGTCACCTATTATAGCTTAGGGGTTTCTTATTTAGGAGACCTTGGTAAGAAGAGTTAGGGTATTAGTTGTTTAGTAAGTAATTGATGGATGATCAGAACTGGGCTGATGATTAGTATGCCATCCTTGATAAATGCAACACAAAAAGAATAATTCTAATCGGAAATATAAAGCGGATATTTTTTGGTTGTTTGTTTGAACGCGCTAATCTCTGTAACTACAAGTCTGATTTGAATAATCTTTTTGTGTTGGATAGCGCGATATCGAGGATGGCTATAGGCTATAAAACATCGCGCTACGACCAATAGGAGCTGAGCAGAGCGTGTGAAACCGCGCGGAAGTAGCTAGTCCTCTATAAAAATCCACACAGTTTTTAGTGCAGTTATTTTTCTTTTGTGTTCATTGCATGTAACCTTTAGTGTCTTATGTTTATATTCCTTTTCCCGTCACAGGTCTGGAAGAAATCCCTTAAATATGCAGTACCAATGTACCTCATGCTTTCAATGTGTTGTCCTTTATAATATTGTCTGCTGCATAGTGTACACATGGGTACATATCGAGCTTTACATAACCAGTATAACATACATACATCAACAGCCTATAAATGCCCACTGCTGAGCAAAGCCTCTTCTCACACGGAGAATGTTAGAGCATTAATCACCACGCTTGCTCAATGCGGGTTGGCGATTTCAAACTTATAATTAGAAATTATAAGTTCAGGTTTCCTCACGATGTTTTTCCTTCACCGTTTGTCAGTGGTGTCTAAATAATCTTAGAAAGTACATATAACTCGGAAAAAGTCACATTGGTACTTGCCGTTGGTAGGTTTCGAACCCGCACCCTCATGCATGAGAAGTGGGCGTCTTAAACCTGGCCACCACGACATTTTATAAACTGAACGTTAAATGTGCGGAAAGATGATGCGACGCGACACCAGGATAAACTGGTTTTGTATAGGTTGATGTGTGGTCGTGTGTACATGAAATGATAAATAAATAAATTAAATATTCCTTTTACAACAAAATGCTCTCATTTCTACAATAAACACCAAGCGGTCACCGGTGACCGCAACCTATTGTTCTATAATTGTGTCTATAATGACGGTACTCGACGAGTTAAACGGTAACTAAATTGCCCTTTATGCTACAAACGTTGCCAATTAGTAAAATACTTGTATCTAAAAAGAAAATATTTATCAAGAAATAAAAAAGAAAAAAACCTTTATGGTCTGCATCTTTGCTCTCAACTGTACATATTAGTGTTTATTTTAATTTTAACTAGTTTTTTTTTTGTTTGTTACAGATTAAACGTGACGTGCAAAGCCAAAGTGTTACATCTGTATGAGAACAGATCTTCAATACCAGACAGTAAGTAGCAATTTAATCATTAATATTATCTTTTTCATTAGCGTCTTCGACTTTAGTCTAATGACAAGCCTTGTCACACAAGACTGCATTCTTTCAATTGAGTGAGATCAAAATCATTATAGTTTTATTATTTGTCCTAGAAATTCGGTAAAGTCTATTGAATTTATCTATCTACACTCGCGCGAATTCACACAATGCTTGATTCCTATTTGTCATAAATGTTTTATGTACCTTCCTCGGTAAATGCACTATGAAACACAAAAATAATTATTTAAATCGGACCAGTAGTTCTGAAGATTAGCGCGATCAAACAAGCAAACGAACATACTCTGCAGCTTGTATTAGTAATATAGATGAAGAAGAACGAGAACATTAAATGCTCATCATCATAATTTCTGTCACAAGACGTCCGCTGTTAATTATAGATCTCCCACAATGACTTCCAGAAAGGCTTGGAAACAACTTGCATCCAGCTGTAAAATAGTTTTCTACCCTATAGTATGAGTAACGGTATTTATCCTGAACTAGCTTCTGCCCGCGACTTCGTACGTGCAGTCCTGTTTTTCCAGGAAACTAAAACTAAACTAAACTTTTTTTTTTCGAACAGGATAAAAAGTATCTTATGTCCGTCTCCTGGCTACCTCCATACCAATTTTTAGCTAAATCTGTTCTGCCGTCCTTGAGTTATAAGTGGTGTAACTAACACGTCTTTCTTTTATATATATAGATTATTACTAGATTATTACTACTTCTGCCAGCGACTTCGTACGCGCAATCTCTAAAAAAATTTAGGTGTCGACTACCCCCAACATTTAGGGAGATAAAAAATAGATGTTGGCCGATTCTCATAGATACCGGATAAGCACAAAAAAAATCATCAAAATCGTTTCGGAGACGACACGAGAATTTTATATATTAGATTATCAATTTGTTTATTTTCAGCTATACCAACTGAGGAAAAGTGTTCCTACACAATGTTGCCGATTACAAAGGAGACGAGGAATGGCTTCGACTACTATAATACTAGCGTGAGTACTACCTTTTACCTATTAACCGTCTGATTATAAACAATAAAAACAAATAACATCACGCCTTCTATCCCCGAAGGGGCAGGCGGTGGTGCACATTACGGCACTTAATGTCACTGTACAATGTGACACCCACCTTTCACTATTTATGTTATGAATCCCATATAATAGGGGGTGACGCTATTGCCATATACCGAACACAATTCCAGACTCCGTGCTATTATTGAGATTTTTGTAAGAACACCCAGTAGTACTTGCCTCGACCCGGGAATCAAACCCGAGACGCCTTGCACGGTAGTCGCACTTGCGAACACTCGATCAACGAGGCAGTCTAAGTAAAATCAGTCACATACAGGCCACAATTGTGTGTTTTTCTCAAAACTGAAAACTGTGGTGTGATCTGTCCTTCAAACGTTACATTATAAACAATACTAGCTGTAAATATTCCCAATCCTCTATCCGCAATACCTAGAAGGCTGAAAATGCACTAGTAACTCCTTTGGTGTTGCGTGTGTGTATGGGTGGCGTTGCCCTGGGTGCTTACTCTTGAAACCAAACTCAATGTCAATGCAATTTCAATCTAATAAAATCTCAATAATTAATCAATGTCAAAACTGTACAACTCCTCTCGTAGCTGTTAAAATAGCATTCAGAGTACGGAATATAAAACCAAACTCAATACCATTAATATCTACGCAATAATTACGCAATGGGCACTAGTGTTGCAAGTCAAGAGTACGAAATTTCACAATACTAATGTCGATCGATCGGAATTGGATTCAAGAGTAAGCCTCCTGACCAGGGTGCTTACTCTTGAAACCAATCTCAATGTCAATGCAATTTCAATCCAATAAAATCTCAATAATTATCCAATGTCAAAATTATACAACCCCAACCGTAGCTGTTAAAATAGCATACAAAGTACGGAATATAAAGCCAAACTCAATACCATTTAGTTCATTCAATATCCACGCAATACGGATGCATGCAATGGGCGCTAGTGTTACAACTCAAGAGTACGAAATTTCACAATACCAATGTCGATCGATCGGAATTGGATTCAAGAGTAAGCCCACAGGCTTATCAGACGATCCTAACCCTATACCATAAAAAAGATATATAAATATGCGTTTGGGACTACTTAATTGACATAGTTGGCCTGTTTCTTTATGCAGCACGCATATAAGATATTAGTTCCCGTGGGATTATAAGTAGCGTATGGATTATTTGAGACCATAATCCGCCGCTGTTCCGAATTTCATCCCAATCTCTTCTACCGTTTTGACGTGAAGAAAAGAAAAAGAAAGAATAAACAACAATAGTTTATTTGCACAGCGTCACGAAGTACACTAAAAATAATAAAAAACAGCGAAAACGGCGCAAAAAGCCCAGAGCTCAGTTTAAATGCCGTGACCCAAATGCAATAGCTGGAGTTGCGGCGCTGATTTTCAGCAACAGGAATCACAAACAAACAAAACAAAGTTTGTATGTCAATTTTTGACATACAAACTTTCTCATTTATAATATTATTACTAGCTACTTCCGCGCGGTTTCACACGCTCTGCTTAGCTCCTATTGGTCGTAGCGTGATGTTTTATAGCCTATAGCCATTCTCGATAAATGCACTATCCAACACAAAAGGAAATATTCAAATCAGACTTGTAGTTACGGAGATTAGCGCGTTCAAACAAACAAACAAGAAAACAAACTCTTCCGCTTTATATAATAGTATAAGATTTATTATAGCAAGATTGATTTTGTTCATTGCCTTTTTTGTCGACTACAAGGAAGCAAATAATAAAATAACAACTGACTAATTTTCGTATTTTATATATTAAAACTTAAAGTGTTGTAATGTCATATTTCAGTTTGCGCTGTACGTGGCTACTGATCAAGAAGAAGGTCTCTACAATCTCTACTTCAACAATTGTCCGAACCCCGACGCCGGCACGACGACCGCAGTCAACATGATTGTGAGTTCGATACTATTGAACAAGTACCAGTAGTAGGGGAGCCCATGAAGGGATTTCGGTAGTTACTCGAGCGCGTCAGATTAACATATGGGGAAAACCTAGTGTCATGTTGAATATACCCAACATATATTCGATCTGATTAGAAGGGGGGGACTGAAAATTAAAAAAAAGTCTGACTAAATAAAGTCAGTTTCGTCAGATTAAGGGAAGGTAGGTCAATACCGTGCTAAAGGAAGTGCGTTTAAAAAATCTGCCCATTCCAACTTGATTTGCAAGAGTGGGGAGATTTTGAAGGGTTCCCGTTTGTACTCTCCAGAACATTCAACCCCACCATGCAAACTGGCAGATTAAGAGTTTTTTATTATTAAATACACATGGAGCATGTACATTATCAATATCTGACACGCTCGACCATTAGAACAAAAGTTACGCTTAACAATTTCAAAGATCTGTAGATTCCCCCTTCCCCCACTGGTGGAAGAAATTGTCACTAAACCATTTCTTCTTTCTATCAGCATATCTTCAAAATCCAGTAGGTCCCAAGGACGCTCAAGTAAATCCCAATTTAGCATCGTGGGTTACCGTATGGTCATGACAGACTAGAATACATCTTTCAGCACCTCTACTCTTCTCAAAGTAATACTAAAATAACTTGAAGATAAAACTTTTGACGGCACGATTGGTGCGGTGCCTATACAACCGGCTAGCGCACAACGTACACTGCAATATAACACCCACTTTTCACTATTCATGTTATGAGTCCCATGTAATAGGTGGTGAACCTATTGCCATATACCTGGCACAATTCCAGACTCTGTGCTACTACTGCAAATTATTTAAAAAACCCAGTAATACTTTGCCCGGTCGCACTTGCGACCACTCGGTCAATCAACGAGGCGTCAACGCGCAACGTATCGCGGTTTATTTATCACCCCCACAGCAACTCTTTGTGTGATCCGCGGATTGTTGTTTCGGGTCTGTCTGTGATGTGTATGTGAACTTGTATGTTTGTAAACGCACCCACGACATGGTAGTAATACCTAGTGCGGGGCAACGTTATTTCAAAAAAAAACATCCTAAACATACATTTTGTATTACAGGTGGAAATCTACGAGAGTAATGCTGGTAACTTCTTATCGGCAGGGGAGATGCCACTTCCAGCGTTATATAGCATGATGTCACTCATCTTCCTTACGTGTGCTGCCCTCTGGACTTTTATCCTGCGAACTAGTCGACAGCCTGTCTACAGGATACACATCATTATGTGTGTCCTTGTCTATCTGAAGGCTCTCTCTCTTGCCTTCCACGGCATTAACTACCATTTCATTCAGACGAAAGGCGAACACGTTACTGCTTGGGCGATTCTCTTCTATATTACGCATTTGTAAGTAACAATTTATGAATCTAATCAGCTTTATTGCAGCGCAAAGATAAAGTTATAAAATATTTAGTGAAACAAGGGGAACTATTGAATTTCTTTCTGAAAATAGGCTATTTATACATATATTTTTGCCTTGTAGGCAGCAATATTACACGTCAATTTTATCAAGCGAATGATGAGGCAGAAATAACGAATATTTTGGACATTTTCTGAATAAGCGTAAACTCCTAAACAGACACATTCACTAGCATAACATACAAGTGAACATTACTAAATATTGATTTATTTAAAATGCCCGTCTACTCGGGTCAATAACTGACAAAAGCTCTACAAGTTTCAGGCATTTAAAATTAATTTTGTATATCTCACGATAGTTAATGTGTAAATACTAGTTACTTCCGCGCGGTTTCTCACACCCTGCTCAGCTCCTATTGGTCGTAGCGTATACATAACACAAAAATAATTATTCAAATCAGACTTGTAGTTACGGAGATTAGCGCCTTCAAACAAAGAAACAAAAATCAAACTCTTCCGCTTTATATAATATATAATAGTATATAAGATTACTCTCCTAACACAGGCACATCTTCGGGTATATTATACATATTCGGGTTTGGGTGTCATTGTGTATGTGAACTTGTATGTTTGTAAACGCACGCACACAGGAGAAAATCATAAAGTGGGGCAACCTTTAACTCGTCGAGTACCGGTTTTGTAGACACAATTATAGAACAATAGGTTGCGGTCACCGGTGACCGCTTGGTGTTTGACAGTTTAAAAAACAAAAAAATCTTACTTAAAAAGAATCCTCAAACACGGTCACCTAATAACAATCACTAAATATATTTGAACAGGAATCCCTCAATAATACTTTGTCCAGTCCAGCGATTGATTTAATATTATCATTTTTCAGATTGAAGGGAGCGGTGTTGTTTGTGACCATTGTACTTGTAGGCACCGGCTGGAACTTCATCAAACACATACTTTCTGACAGAGACAAGAAGCTCTTCATGATTGTAATACCTCTGCAGGTAAATTATGCCCTTCTACTATATTTGGAAGTACTCCCAAACTAGGCTCTCAAGTGTAAAGATTATAAATAAATAAAATTTTTATTCATAATTGAAAACATGCGAAATACAAAGACATATCGTAAATACGTACAGTTGTCCTCACAATGTTATATGCCTGCACTAGGACAATCCTCTATCGCAGGCGAGAGGAGTTCTAAATATAATTCTTATTGACTAACCCCACTTATACTTATATTAGAGCTTAGAGCAAACTCTAATCCAGCAGGAGACTGCCAGGATCTTGTTTTTGCTCAGGCATGACTCAGGGAATTCAAAAAACTTGCGAAAATTTTAACGTTTTTTTGCATATTTCCAAACCGACTTCCAAAATCGCTTTGTTTTTATTCGCATCGAGCTGTTACTCGCGATTTCGTCCGCGTAGTATATGAACGGGACATAACTTTTTTGTTGTATCAATTTTCCAAAATATGTAGCTTGTTGCCTTTGTTATTCCTTAGTACATCAGCTAACTGCCAATAAAAGTCCCGACTAAATCGGTCCAGCCATTCTAGAGATTAGCTAGTGCAGACAGACAGCCAGATAAAACATTCTAAAACTATGTTATTTTGGTATGTCTATCGTATGTATTTTTTATTTATTTAACTTTATGCAACAAGAGTACATAGGCGGGCTTAATGCAATGGGTATTCTTACTAGCCAACCTTTAGGTGATGCAGTGAGAGCGTGGTCAGTACAATAAGTTGACCTTGACAACTTAAGAGTGTCTAATATAGTTTATAAAATCACAGAATACATATACCTATATCAATATTATAAACATGTATATTCATATGCATGCAGTACCTCTAAAAAGCGGTTATTTCAACAGACACTCGAATTTTATTTATCTGTGATTGAAAGTAAAGTTTTTGTTTATTTTATAGGTTCTAGCGAACGTAGCTGAGATAATACTAGCGGAGAGCGAGGAAGGTGCCGCGGAACATAACGCGTGGCGCGACATCTTCGTACTGGTGGAGTTGCTTTGCTGCTGGGCAATCATGTTCCCTGTCGTATGGTATGTATATTATATTAATAGAGCCTTTAAACTCAAACGCATTTATTTCTATTATACTATTATTATAAATATTTATAAACTAGCTTTTACCCGCGGCTTCGCTCACGTCACAAAAGGATAAAAAGTAGCCTATGTGACATATACCAATACACACAGCGCCATCTATACCAATACTTTTGTTTTCCCTCGGGAATATCAAATTTTTCCGGGATAAAAAGTACCCTATTATTTAATTCAGACTTCTAACTTTACGTCTGCAAAAATTCAAAGCTATCGGTTTAGTATTTACGGCGTGAAAGCGGAACAAACAAACAAAGTCACTTTCCAATTTATAAATTTAGTAAGGATTATTAAAGTCGTTAGGTGGGTTAAAGGAGTGGATACAATTTACGTGCGCGGCCGCACGGTTAGAAGCCGTTGCGTGCGAGAGCCGCGGTAGACGAAAGTGAAACGCACGTGTTCCGCAATGCAGCGGCCGCGCACGTATATTGTATCCACTCCTTTAACCCACCTAACAACCGCGCGCTACAACCAGAATTTGATACTTTTGAAACGTCAATAAATATAAAATAAGTAATAGTCTGTCAGTCTGTCAGTGACGCTAGGCGCTCGTTCCAAAATGTTGATTCGAGTGGACTCTTTTAAAAAAAGTCTGTTTTAATGTCTCTGATACATATTACAATATTGTACATATATGTGAAAACAATGTAAAGACACGCTTGACGCATTATACAAATTACAGAACTTACTAAAATAAAAAACAAAAGATTATCATTCAGCACCCCCAGTATTATTAGAGTGTGGGCGAGCCATACCTTGGCATGAATCGACTGGCTTGACAGGAGTGATACCACAGCCGCACAGAAAATCGGCCTAAAACAACCGAAGCGCTGTGTCACGCCGTGTGACCGAAGCCCCAATTTGAAAGAAAGAAACTCCCCTCCCTTCCTCAAACTCCCTCATCCTCAAATCCTCAACCGTCAAATCCATAACCCCCAAAAGACAACGCACTTATAGCTTCTCTGGTGTTGCGGGAGGCCATGGGCGCCCAAATACCATCAGGTGATACGTTGCAGGCATATCAGTCTTACTTTTATTAGTCCATTGAAGTGTTACAATTTAAGGACCGAGTATTGCATTTAGAGGACGCAATAGTATTTTTGGGACATGTGTTGTAGGTCAATAAAAGCTTAACGCCAAACTTGACTAGTTTATCATGATATTACTTTGTATGATTCTTCCGTAGATTTAACATCCAGTTTGTACTGATTATTTGATCAAAATCATTATGATAATGTACGTATAATCTTGCAAAATCTTGTGGGTTCGATGGTAAATCTTATAAATTGTAATTCCTTATCTGTATTGTTCACCTCTTGCATTAGTAACAAAACCAGTGGTGGTATTTATAACATACCATTTATAAGGTTATATTATAACTTTAACTAGCTAACTGTATACTAACTGTATCTTCCAGGTCAATACGTCACCTGCAGGACGCGTCGAGTACGGACGGCAAGGCGGCCATCAACCTGCGCAAGCTCAAGCTGTTCCGACACTTCTACGTCATGGTCGTCTGCTACATATACTTCACGAGGATCGTCATATCCATATTAAATGTAAGCTGTACTGTTTATCATCATAATCCCCATACTTGGCGGGCGATTTGTTCACAGTTCGGCTTTAAAACGCGCTCCTGCTTGTGGGTTTCTCGTTGAAGTAGGCTGCAAAAATGCACGAATATATGGAGCTGATACAGAGCGTCTTAGATGAAGCAATCTACGATCTAGTCGCAGATTGCAACGCTCAATCCACGTGCTAGCAGAAACAGACTTATGAATGTAGATCAAGAGCAGAAGATAGAACGAGGTGGTTTTTAGTTATGTACTAACACCCGAATACTGAAGACTACTCAAATTTAAGTTTTACTTTAATATCATCTCTTACTTACTTAATATTTAAGCGCCACTTAAAATTGAGTCGCGTTTGAATGTTTGGACATGAGGTTATGACATTCCCTCGGCGCCTCAGCAATCAACTAGGGCGGGGGCAGTCCTGGAATGTTTTGACCCAACAGAAGAAACGTGATATGATAATGTATGTAGTTACAATTTGCTTGCCGTTAATACTGAAAAACATGAATAATTAAATAAGAAAATTGGACATAATTTCAGATCACAGTGCCATTCCAATACGCGTGGATAGACGAAATGTTCCGAGAGATGGCGACACTGGCGTTCTTTGTTATGACTGGCTACAAGTTCAGGCCGGCCGCTGCCAATCCTTATTTCACGCCAACACATGTCGATGATGTGGAGCCACAAGTGTAAGTATACAATTAAATACCCAATTATAGACTTCATCACGTAATCCCGTAGCGTAGGGGTGCGCTACATGTTACGATTACGGGATTACGACGATGGGGGCGTGTCTTGACGGTTTTGCCGAGCTCAAGCAATACATTAATCAGGCAGATCTGTCCCCGCATTGTTCATAAGATCATCATCATAACATCACGCCGTTTACCCCCAAAGGGTAGGTAGCGGTGCACATTACGGCACCTAATTCTACTGTACAATGTAACACCCACTTTTCACTATTTGTGTTATAAGTCTCATGTAATAGAGGGGTGAGCCTATTACTATATACCGGGCACAATTCCAGACTCCGTGCTACGACTGAGCTTTTTTATAGAAACCCAGTAGTTCTTTGTCCGACCCGAGAATCGAACCCGAGACCCCTTGCTCTGGCAGTCGCATTTGCAATCACTCGACCAACGAGGCAGTTGTACATAAGATGGTACACAAGATATGCTTGGAAGGAGGAGGAGGAGATCACAGTTAAGGAGGTTCAGCTATATCAGAGAGTGTCTAGTCTATAAATGATTAAACACCCGTGAGAATAGTAGTGGTCACATTTGAAGAACCGATGACTGTAGAGGTAGACCTGTTCTGAAGTGGAGACCGCGTCTACGCAAACGTAGTGTAGGGCGTCTCTTCAACTAGGTGAATTGAAGGTATATACAAAGTTGGCAGTAAATAGATGAGAAGAACTGCAGATGAAGCGAAGTGTCATGCTACTTACAAAGGCTTGTGGACGGAAACATGCTAATGATACTAAATTTCACCTGATGGTAAGCAATCGGCGTCGCCCATGGACACCTGGAACACCAGAGGCTTTACAAGTGCGTTACCGGCCTTTTGGGGATTAGGAGTTTGAGGATCGTTGGGGATTCAGGAATTGGGGAGATTGGGGAAGGGGAGGGTAATTGGGCCTCCGGTAACCTCACTCACACGACGCAACACAACGCAAGCGTTGCTTCACGTCGATTTTCTGTGAGGCCGTGGTCTCACTCCGGTCGAGCCGGCCCATTCGTGCCGAAGCATAGCTGTCCCACATATACTAGTATTCTTATTTCTTTTTCCAGACTGTCAGACATCGGGGTACTTGAAGGAGTGACGCGGATAGCGAACCGAGGCGACAGAAAACGGGAAGATCTACAACCGTTAATGCAGGAAACTAATTACAATTCTGATTAGGTGTAAGTCTACTATTATATAATTACCTGTAAGTGACGGCTTGCCGACGTTCTAGTGAAACGTTTATAAAAACCTCGAAATCATTTGTTACTTATATCATGGTTCTATAGGATACTCCATTTTATTTATCCCTATGGCACCCGTACTGTAGTGTCGAATATACCATACACTTAAACTTCTATTTCTATCTAATTCAGTAGCTAAGTTACCTCTGTCTTTATGTGAACTTAATATTTTTAAAGTGTTGAGAAAGGAGAAGTCAGATGATTTCAAATCTCATAATATTTAATGGTATAATTGGGTAGATGACAGGATAAGAAAATTAAAATCTAATTAGTCCGTCAGTTAGATAATGAAAGAAATATTAGACACGTATTTTTTATTTTGTTGTATAATAAAATAAATTGATAGGTACTTAGATATAACGAATCCAAGTTTAGAAGTGGAGGCTAAAAAGTCATCTGCGTATAAAATGTACATAGAAGTGACGTCGCGTGACATTTCAAATCTATATATCGACAAAAGTATTAGTTTCTGTAAAAAAATGAAAAATACGCGTGTATGTAATGTTTTAAAATAATCTACCAGACGGACATTAAAATAAAAATTAGTCATCTACCCTATTATAATTGTTTATACTTAAATATTGTCAAATGTTAGGTATACCGTGTCTATTTAAACGAATATCATTAATACGACGTTTTTAAAATGTCAATTTGTTATACAAGGATGTTTTGTCCTTTATATTGTACTTGTAGAATATGTTCAATGTTGATCATCTGTTGAATACCTCACTTCATATTAATTACCTTTAAAAATCATGACAAAAATAACTTCAAGTTGCGTTATCGTAAGATCGGAAATATAGGCCAAAATACATAGTTTGATTCACGACTAATCTTAAAAGTCGTCTACTAAATTTTTTGTTCATTCATTATTTATGTTTTCATGTTATATTCTGTCCGCGGCTTGAATATATAGACATGTTTATCTCACAAATTCTCAGAGCTAAAACTAAATACGACTAAATTATATAAAAAATAAACGAGAAAATCTAAAAGATTGAAACTACTCTGTATAAATACGACTGGATTTCATAATAGAATATTATATTAACTAGTAACTGCTAGGGGTTAACGATACTGGTCCTTTGACTTAAATTCCTGGGTTAACACCCATACTTACACTTAAATTTATTAAAACCATGTCCACTAAACATACTTATATCAATACATTTAAATACATATTCGTGATACTTACATATTCCTTGTTGAAAGTATGCTCCAAATTGGCACATTCAATTTGGTATTTTTATATGACGGGTTATCAGTACAAAAAGTACTCGATTTCATTTTGGAAGTAGTATGACTCTTAGTATCTGAGGACACTGCAGTGCCCGCCTAGTTCATGTTACAACATCACTATAGTTAACGTTCAAGGGTAAAACAAGGGTGCAAAACTACGTGCAAGACATCATTGCACCAATCTGTCGTCAGAACCGCTGTTTATTCAATAAATTTTCCATTTTCAATGGATCCGCTATCCATATCCATTCAACGGCCAAGTCACATAACATTAACTTTAATTATAATGAAATCTCAGTAAGGAACCTTAGATTTGGCACGACTTTGTCTAGATTTCATTACTTTTTAGAGATGAACGAGCGTCTTTATCTAGACTTGGCTAGTGTTTTACAGAACGTTTTTGAATGAATTAAAAGTTACTAGAGTTGTAATTGTAATGATTTTCAACTGTGTTAAATTATATATGATGCTTTATCCTTTAGATAACTCGATCGATATTAATACGAGTTTAGTCATCAACTTGAAATATACCAAAGAGACAGTATCCTTCCCAAATGAAATCGATTATAAATTGACCTCTGACCTAATGTGAAGTTTATGTAAAAGGGGGCTATCGCGACACTCTTTGTGTTCTAAAGTTTTATGATCTCTAGACTATCAGACCATGTCAAGACATTGTACCACCAACCTAACAGGTACAATGATGACAAACAGGATCTATGAGTATTAGTTAGCATCAGTGAGAGTTCATCTTATACTAGATAATGTTGTCTGATATACCGTCAGGTGTACCTTCGGCAAGGAAAACTTAATGCTAGTCCTTTTCTGATGGCATTTCTGTACATTAACACGTGCAGTCAGCTGCAGAAAAATAAGACTTTCAATGTAACTAATTTAAATCTAAGATACCTAAACGAATTCTTTTTTTTTATTTAAGGTAATAACTTTTTATTAAGTACGTTGTTCAGTTATATAGAAGCATGTGTAAATCAAGACCTCTCTCTATGTGCCGGATTCACTATGCATTTATTTTGATCGAAGACCCGAATGCTATTTGCAAGTACATAATTTTCCTTCTTTTACACTGCACCTTGGGACTTACAACTGCCGAAAAACGGGTATTATACGTTAAAAGTACTTCTTTTCTTGTCCTCTTTTGGGAATAAAAGTCTTGTTAGTTTTATCTATATAGAGTACAAGAGGACACCTAATTTGAAGAATGAAAAGTTCACTAAAATATTGGCTAATTCTTTGCGCAAATTAAAAAATAATGTCCTACTTTTGCGCAGTAGTGTTTTAACTTAATGTTTTCAAAGAATAATATGTTGTACCATTATCTACCGATGAAATAGAAACTACAACTCATTACTACTACTCCATTATGCATACCTTAGATGCACTTATACTGACTAATCGATCCTAAGATCGATATATTCTGTTTTTTTTCTACTAGGATCATAGCTATTTCCCTTCGTCTTGACAATTAATGCCATGCGATTGAATTGACTTAGAATTGAAAAGCGTTATGAATAAAATCATAGATGTATCTCAATAAAATCTTTTAATTCATTTCTTGGCCTAAAGACTCATAAAATCATAAAACATTTTTCGGAAACTCATTTCCATCATTTCAAAGACCTACCAACTTTTATCTTCGTTATAATAAAATATTATTTTTAAAATAATCTGATAGAATATGAAAAGTAGATAGAAAATGTAATAATGTCGGTCTTAAGTCCCAACTACTTTCATTTCAGCACCGAAATATATTTAACGGACATTCTGAAAATGCGGTCAATTTGAAAACGGTTTTTGTAATAGTATAATTTTTTATTACAGAAAGCTCCTAAATTGTTTCGATGCTGAGTGAAACAAAAACCTTTATAATGTTAAAATTGAGTCATTATACGTTAAGGCTACTGAAATGTCCCATTACTATTATCGGCTAGACTAAATGACATATCATGTATGTCATTTTACCAGTTTTATATAAAACATAGTGATGTCTATTAAATTATTTATAATATTGATACATTTATAAGGGATTATATAAATCTATTCTTCGTTAAACAATACATGTTACAAATATCCCTCGATAAAGTGTGATTATATGACCATGCATGTTTATGCGTCATTATTTATTTCCTCACCAATATACAGATTTAATAATTATATTTTTTTAGCTTAAATTGTACGTTTAATATTGTTTTTTTTAATCATTGTGTTAGAAACTATTTTGATGGAATCCTTTTGTTTTTTTTAGGTTGTGAAATAAGTTTATATTGTATTTTTTTTCGAATTTCCCCTTTTTGTGATGATTGTTGACTGTTTGTAAATAAGTATCATGGTGTAATGAATAGTTATGGTAAAGCCTTTCTGTTGTAGATATTATACGGAAGATGCGAGGAGTGGTCTCGAGAGACGTTTCAAATGACATGCGTATATTTCGGTGTTCAAGAGCTAGAACCATATTAACTTGAATATTGTTACACATTCACGATCCAGCCAATAATATTATTGTATGTGACTTTTTCTACTAAGTACTAGCACTGGGTCATTATTAAAAGTTTCTTTGGAAATAACTTTACTTATTCAGTTTTAAATACGTTCTATTGTGTCGCGTCTATCTCCAATTAGACTCAATCGTAGATTGGATTTTTTGCATCAATGCGCCTTATTTTTCTTAGGTATTGTAGAATTTTCGCTTCTTCTTATAGTATAAACCTTGCTTACATCACATTCCATGGGATTGATATAAATATAGGCTTACATTATCCCCTTAACTAAGCGGTCTTGGCTCTAATGTAAAATTGAAAAGAATGTACGCATGTCGTTCCTTCGTCGCCATATTGTCTAAGATGATATTTCTCTTCACCGGTTGTTTGTATTGTCCAATCACTTTTATAATAATGGACCAAAGTAACATTCGCTAGACTTACGATTTAATTAGTTGTGAACTATTTACTCCTGTAGGAAGTGTATAATAATTTGTTAGTTCTCTTTAGCGATAGCTTATAAGTTTCGTGTTGATGCGACCGTGGTGCGCGATTGTTAATCTGTGGTTTGACACCTGTCAAACTTGTCAGTTTTGATAATCGTTGCCGACTTTGTAAATGAAGCGTTAATATGATTTTATTTTGTTACTCGACACTGGCAGTATAGTCGTCAACATAGTATTGGAGACTCGATTGCCAAAGAAAAAAAATATTTTGTTACCTCAATGACAATGTAGCTCAATTTCGGAACATAGTGGCTTCCTTCTAGGATTGTTAACCGTATTATAGTATGCCGTATGTTTCTAGAGATATTAAGATCCCTGATTCAGTCTAAGCATAGTTCGTTCATGTTGAATTTTTCAACTCCGATTGTAAAATGAAGATTAGATTAAATAAAAAAACTATATATAGGTACGGTCGAATTGAGAACCTCCTCCTTTTTTTGAAGTCGGTTAAAAATATGTACCTACTACCGTCTCATTTGAAAACCCGCGGTCGCTGTCGAATAGTGGACGATCCACCATGATATTTTAGTTCGTAGAAAGTCGAGAATACAACACATTATACACTTTCTACTAGATTAATCACTACTACTTTGTATAGTAACTAAGTAGACGAAATTATGCCCTGTGCGCTTATGTAAGGACCCTGTTTTGTATATTCACAGAATAAAAAAATGCCTCATTGTTATGAAGGAATGTTGTAAAGAATGGTGCCTGGAGTGTCGTTGATAAATAAAATTGACAATTTTAAGATTGTAAATCTTCATAACGGTCTATACAACTGAGGTTTTCTACTTTTTTGGCGCTTCTTAAACTAATATTTCATGTAATGTTACAATAATGGCGTAAGTAAACTTAATAATGTGCTAGTATTGTACCAAATTGCAATAATAAATACAATAATTATTTATAATTAGTTTAAGCGCTCAACGCATGTTGCTTAGTTAGGGTCTCGTTTCGTCAATACTTATTTTGTAGATGAACTGCAAAACGATTTAGATGAATTTGCGTTCTGTATCATAAATTGTACAAAATAAACTGATAACGAATACTTGGTTGTTTTATTTATGTTGAAACTTACATTGTTTCCTCTACAAATAAAATCAAATTCAAAATCATTTATTTCCATTAACATGGTATTATATGTAGGTGTACATGTCAGCCTGGATAGGCGTTATAATAATATGATATCGCGTCATATTAATATCAACTATATCATGTCATTATCAATGTCA